AGTGATTATATTGACATGGAAAATGTTTTGGCTGATTGTGTAGATTCATGTTTTGAAGATGAAATCTACTTAGATGTTGAGGAGGCAAGAAGGAACATGCAAATTAAAGACCTCTATATTTCTGAAGCAGATCTAAAAATCAATGCTAGCCCTGTTGCTCCCCCAGTGATGAAGCTTCAAGGGGAGAGCACATACATGGAGATGGCTAGTGTGACGAATGCTAACCGGAAAAGTCTCACCCTGCAGGGTGCAGACATGCCTCAGGTACTTCCACTCCCCCAGAAGGCAGCGACTGTCAAGACTACATTGAGCCCACCTTTACCCTTACCTCCAAAAGTCCGACACAACTCTGATAGTGGAGTCCCTCTCAGGAGAGCTGCCTCAGATGTTGGTGAGGAACCAACCAAGAAGAAGCAGGAAGCAAAGCCAGTAAAAAGTCCCATGAAAATTTATACTAAAGTCAAGTCTCAAAACAAAAGAGGCGAGGCCAGTGAGCCACCAATGCCATTCCCCAATCTAATTGAATTCACCAAGAAAATGTCAGAGAGTCGATCTACCTATGTAAACACCTATGTTGATGCTAGTCAGAATTTGGTGCCTGATGAATGTCCTGTAACTAGAGAGGTATTGCTTCCTTTGCCTCCCTTGGAGCCCCACAAGGAAGGATTTTTGGCACGACTCAAGAGGAGAAGCTCAAAGGATAAAGGTTCTTGCCAGGTTCAAGAAAAAACACCTCCAGGTAGCAATGCAAAGAATCGCACCAGCGTGCTAGAACGCAGTATGTCTGAACACGAATCTTCCAAATCTATGAAAGAAGAAAAGGGTTCTAAGTTGAAACTTGGTCGGCGTAGATCTTCCAGTTTTCCAAATCGTTTGAGCTACCAAGAGTCTGTGGAACCCATCGGCGCTCCTTGTTTGAAACCCACAGGATCTTCTTCCAGCAGCTTTTCTTCTGGGTCTTACAAACAGAAATCAGACTGGAAGCCAACAGAGCAGAGTGAGAGCTCATCTTCTATACACGATTTATCGGATGATTCAGATATGTCACCACTGCTCAAAAGAGATGACAAAAAAATTGATTCAAAGTCAGTCACTTTGCTGCATGTTCAAAGAACTGAGGGGCCATTAGTCAATCCGTACCTGCATACATCAGTGTCTGTCCCGAAGTTTCCTTGTCCTTCATTGGATCTTTCAAAGACTGATGATGAGAAACTTCTTGAAATGAAGCAGCAAAAAATTTATAAAAAGCCAGTAATATACCAGAGATCATCTTCTCTTGATTTGAAATTAGACAAGGGTTTGAAGAATGATGAGTCGTCTTTGTCACGCCCGTCAGAACGGAAAGTTTCTTCCAACTCTCAAGCATGCGCATCATCAATTTGCGATCCCGACATTCCCAGCACAGTGTTGCCATCCAAGTCATCCACTTTTCAAATCAGTACAGTCCGTAGAACAACTCAAGTGACAGAAGATCCATCATCAGCTGCTATTGCAAATGAAGACCTTCCCCCAAGCCTTCCGCCAAAGTCCAGAACCTATCAGAACCCATTGTCGCCAGTCATAGAAACTGCATTTAGCCTAGTCCCTCCCAGTGAACCTGTTTATGTGGAGATGGATGAAGTATCAGCATCAGTGTCAGCATATAGAGCAGCCGCCGTAGCAACGAAAGGTGCAGGATGTCAGTCTGATAGCAAATCAGCACCAGCTGGGGAAGGCTGCCATGTTCCATCTTCTAGTATTGATTCACAGGCAGGTATCATTTCACTCTAAGCATCATGATGCACTTTTGTGCATTGGCCCGCAAGCCAGAAACATGTGCAAAGGTGGACCTCTTGTTTCCTGGTAAATTATTCAGTTTTCGAGATTGGTGAAGCACAAAACGTAGCATGAATGTGTTTTCCATCTCAGTTTCAGTTTCACTTTCTAGCCTCTTTGCTTTCTTTGGCCTACCGTTTGTTTTTAGTTGAAATTCTCTGCACGCGTTATTCTTCTGGTGTGGCATCTGTAAAGCTTTTGAATGAAAAGGTATTGGTTTGCCATGCGGAGAATGTTAAATATTATTATGCATCTCGAATTAGGCTGTTGACCATAGAGAGTCTTTACTTCTAATATCTGTGAAATCTCGTGGTGATCACTTAAATGCTGCTTTGGTTTTTGTGCTTTGTTTCCTTTGTGTTCTTGCATGTTCCTGTTTAAAACGTCTTAAGCAGCATGTAAGCGTGTCTTTCGCCTTTCATACGTGAGTTTCAAGCTGCTAACTGTGTTGTTATTTTAACTTGAGTGTTATTCCTGAATTTCATGTTTGCATACTGCTCTTTATTTCTTGTCTGACCTCCCATTACTGACCATATCCGTCATAATTATACTGTGCTTTTCCAGCAATGTACAGGTGTATATAATGCACTCCATTTAGTAAACGTTTGATTGAATCATAAAATCATGGAATCATGGGGACCGAAAAATCAGTGAGTTTGTGTCATAATTTTTTTTAAAATTTAGGGGCAAGGGTGGGGGGGTATCTTAATGAGACTTACTCAAAATGCACCCAGTCACAATCGGCAGTGTATCAATATTTTAAGGCCCAATTATTGATCACTTAAACAGATGAAAATATAGGAGTAGGAGACATCATATAATTAATTGCAAATAAACACTTTAAGTATTGTACTGTACTTCCGTGTTTATTGTGGATACTTCTTACATTTGTTTAATCTTGTATGTTGTCTTTGTGCATGTTTTGAGTCAGATTTTGTTCTGTGATAACACGTTACCTGGAAAAATATACGGCTCTAAGCTTTTAGTGTTCCATTCCCCCGCACTGATTTTACTGTTATATTTTATGGCATTTGTTTAATAATCTGTTACTGTCAGCTGGTTTGTCTTTCTTACCATTTGTGAACTGAAATATCGGTCACTTGGACCTCCTTTCCAGAGTTTACTGAATGTTCTTAATATATTCATTGAGAAAAACAAGTGGTGCTTCAGAAATGTATATTTTGAGTTTGTATAGGTAATATTGATTCTTTGCTGATCCTTTCTTTGTGAAAAGAAGAGAATGGTTTTGTGGCTTACAGTTGGCTGTGGGTTGGGGTTTTTTGTCATTGTCCATCCGGTCTTTTCTGGACTTTTGCCCTTTTGCTACAGATAGTAGGAGAGAGCTACTGTTCGGTCCTACTTCTTTCCTTTCCTTCTGTTTGTCTGACTTGCTTTTCTTTACACTAAATGGCTTATTCTGTTGATGTGCTTCTCTATAGCTCAAACCAGCATACTTGAACAAACCCTATGGCTTTTTGTTGGCAGCGTTAATTCTTTGGAGATGTTTCTTTGCTGGCAAATGACTTGTGTCAGCATTTTGTATTACAAGTCACAAGTTCTTGGTTCTTTATGACTGAGATGTAGCATTCTTGTTGCACCTCATGATTTAGTTACTCTCTTCAAATTTTGATTTCCAGCTTCTCTTGTCCTGCAAGTAATTTGAGAGTGCGAGTTGTGGGATCTTTTTATTTTCTTTCCCTGTGTTCTTTCTATCAATCTTACTTTTTTCCTCACATTTTTTCCCCTTTATTGGTGCATCGGTTTGTTCAGGCTGTATTCAAGAAATTAAATTCAGATGTATTACTGAGAGATAGGTACAGAATGAATGGCGTGCTTAGAAAAAGGCTATCTGGATAAAGGTTTCTTGTATACATATATATTATTATTTCCGGTGTGTGACATTTAAGGTCTTGGTGTGCGATATCACCTATGTGCCTATGTCTCACACTGAAGTCTTTTAGATTTACTTCTAGGGTATTTACATCAACATTATTGCTTTACCTGGCGTGTGTGCTGTAAAGTAATGGTAATTACTTCTCTTGACAGATTTTTTTTTTTTTATCCCTGGTATAAGGGGAAGGGAGCGAAGCACGCTTCATAGAACTGGCTGTGACTTATCAGGTCTATCAGTGCACACTGCTGATAGCTGATAAGAGGAGTTTTTCAAGCACTGGCTTGACTGTACCCTTCCTGGGCTCTTGCCATGAAGTTTGATAGCTTGGAACAGCTTCTAAGAAAAGGAACATTGTTCACTATGCTAATGCTGAGTGGTTTTTTAATTCTTTAACTCATGTGGTGGGTGATTGTTTCCTTTTTAAGGAAGGGTGGGGTTACACACTTTCTTTGGGAACTTGAGTAAAGAAAACGAAGAACTGAACGAAATAGAGATACATGCTAAGAAGAGATGTGATATAGGGTGTGTGTGTAATAACATAGATGGTTTATTTTCCTAATAATCCCTTGATTCCAGAGCATGCTTGCATTCGTAACATATTTGTTATACGTTGAAGTGGTCCTTGAAGTAGATGAGTTGTTGTTTGTGTTTCCTTTTTTTTCCCCATGAGTGGCGAGTTGCGGACAGATTGTAAAAAGCATTTATTTATGAGATTAAAGTAATGTTTCAAGATTCATGTATGTTCTTACAGAAAGGGGATTTGATAATAATGGTGCTCTTGTAATCCCAGACATGATAGTAATCCTATTTTCCTGATCTCTACTACTGCAATGTGTTGTTGAAAGTTCTATTTTTTCTTTGCTTTTTCCGTGGAATTCTTTTTTTCTGGAAGTAAACGGTTGTTTTTTGCTTTTGTGTTTGTATTACCTAAGTTTGAGCTGAAAACAATTTTGACATGAGTTTGTATGCTGGTCTTTGTATGTTTGGGTGGCGCTAGATTTGAATGGAGGCGTGAAATTTCATAATCATGAAATATTGGAGCTGAAAGACATGTTCAAGTATTCATGTAATAATGTTTCCATCCAAAGAATGGTAGCTTTTTTACATTGTTTAAGTAGTGTGCATTCCTATATGGAAAGACACATTTTTAGACTTGTTATTGTTAACAATTTTAGTGCTGTATAATGTATGCTATTTCATTATGATCCTAGTGTTTTCATCAGAAATAAATGGTAGATCAACGGGAATAAAAGGCATTGTGAGTAAACTGTTGTATGCTTTACCTTTACAGGAAGACTGTCAACATCGTCCAGTGAGGGAGTCATAGATCAAATTAACTGCACAAAGCTCACAATCCCCATCAGTTTTGTTCTGGGTGAGGCCAGCCCATCTGGGGTCTCCAGTGATAATGCTCAGTTCCCACCGCCAACACCATCTTCTCCTTGGCTGCAATGCCACCAGTCTTTCTCTACAGTGGACACGTCCATGGGAGTCTCCGAGTGTACCAGCCCGGCAAAGTCTGTGCTGCGACCTCGCTCGGGAACAGAGTACGTTGTGATCAGCCGCAAGACTGTTCCCTCCGTCAGAAGTCGCCCCAGAAGCATTGCTTCGCCCACTCGGAGACAAGTTTTCAGCTTTGACCTGAGCCCAAGCGAAGTTGTCAGCCACACCCGCTTGTCACATCATCGGCGCAGCAGCCCGCACTCCCCCCCAACCCACAGCGTTCACTCTCTGTCTCATGGCTCCAGGTCTCCCTCTAGAACACCCCAGCCTTCCCCCAGTCAGTCGAGCACTGCAGACACTACCCAGTCCAACATGAGCCTGCATGGTGGTGACATGTGGGAGAGGGAGCCCTTCCGATGTGCTCTCCTGCGTCGTGGCGTGTCTCTTGACAGGCCTGCCCCAGCCTCTCCGTCTCCTGCTTCTTCACCTTGCCCAGTATTGTCTCACTCCTCGATCTCATCTGCTCACTCGAAGGAGACCCACAAAAAGTCTACCCTTGGCAGCCCGTTGATGGAAGAAAATGTTTTCTTTCCCATTGACCTGTCATTCAGTGCCTCCTCCCCTCCCTCATCATGCTCACCGTCCCCACTTCCGTCAAGGCAGACTCCTAGTGTTCATGAAGTATATCCAACATATGTAAATCAAGAGTTCATCATGTCACTTGTGAATTCTTCGACTAATGGAAATAGTCGGACTGTCAGCTCAAGCAGTAGTCAATCTAGTGCCACACCTCTTCGTGCTGGAATGCAATCCCTTATGTCGTTATTTTCTAGAGAATCTTCAAGACATTCACCCTCGGAATCAAATAGCCTAGGTCGAAGCAAGAGAAGTCGATCAAGACATTCAGAATCAGACGCTAACCGCCCAGAAAAGCATAGCTTGAGTCTTTCATCCAACAAAAGCTCTCACAGTTCCACTTTGCCATTGACCACTCAGTACCCTCGCCCTAAATCAGGGGAAAAGGCAGAGAAACCTTTGTCTCCTTTATCTCTGCCTCCAGAGGACTATTTGTCAAATTACCAGTGTAAAGTTCATCAAAAGGAGTATGATAAATTTGCTCATTCAAGTATCATTTCAAGAAGACGTGCTCAAACAAAGAACAATTCTAGTAATCATAGTCAATCTAGAAGTGGTGATAACATAGCTTGTGGTTTGTCAAATGATGGCTCTGTTGTTGCTGCTTCCCTTTTAGTTACCCCCATCAAATCTAGTGGATACAAAAATATTGATTCCTTCAACTTCGCTGCCGCAATGGCGTCTTCGCAACATCTATCCGGCACAGGCGTTGGCGTGGCTGTAGATACAGAATCTCATTCCCTGCCTGTAGAGGTTGGTTCACAAGAAAGAAGCCTCGCCTCGACAGAAAGAAGTTTATCAAAGCACAGAGCTTTGAACATGGACAGTAGTCCTGGCGCTGAGCCCAGGGGTGTGTCTCCTGTATCTTCTACAGCCCACCCTCAGCCTCCTCTACTCGGACGTCGTCTGCCATCGTCACCCATGTCATCGTCACCACCACTCTCTCCCAACCTGACTCTCTCAGACACTTCAGATTCTCCACCTTCATATTACGCACCGTCTCCTCCTTCCACACCTCCTCCACCCCCTCTTCCAGCAAGGAAGCCTGTCTTGCCTTTGCCATCGCCCGCACCTCCTTCTACCCCATCTGAACCAGAACTGGGTTCCGACTATTCGGACACTGAAGCCGAGTTGAATTACATCGAGGTTGACATGACGAAATCTCCACAGGAGCGCCGTCCGCAGCCTTGTCCAATCGCCTACACCCGGAGAAGTAAGCGTGTCAAAACCAAGAGGGAGGAGGAGCTGCGTTATGCTGTGATTGACTTGCGTGCCACACAGGCTCTGCAGCAAACCCGCCAGGAACATGTGCACGCCAGGGACAGTGGAGTGAGGAAACCCTCCATTTCTCTCAGCAGAATCAACTCGGCTCCTGCCTCCTCAAAGAGAAAACCACTGTCACTTGTTCCGAGAGAAAGGAAGCTCAGTTCAGGGTCGGTGGATTCCTGCTAATGGAGGGCGTTGTACATCATAAACCTGTGGTTTTCAATTGTGAATTCTTAAAGTGACGGATAGAACCATAAGCTTTTGTATTTTAAGAATGATTTTGTGTAGTCAATTGGGAGTGCTTAAATTTTCTCCACTGGCTTAATGAGAAAAGCAGATGGAATTCATATTTATTTTTATGATTTCTGAGTTTATCCTGAAGATGTCCTCTTTTGTGCTTACTTTGATAAGTATTAGTATGGCCTGTTTGTGAGCAGAAGTTTGTTATTGAATAATTCGATAGATCAAATTCAGTGGAATTTGAAGTGAGGATTTGTTTAAAGGTAGGCCTTATTTGTTTTCCATAAGATTACAGTTGTGTAGAACAAGATTTAAAGTATGGTCTATCATATTTCTAGGGTAAAAAATCTAGTTATAACACTAAGTTCCTTTTTTCTTGGGAATCTTTTTAAGTTCTTCTGTGACGATAGTTATTATAATTTTTATATTATTTTAAAGTGACAATATTTATGAGCTGTTTGAAAGGAGAACAAATACTTAAATTTTGTAAAGGCTTTTCAAGTTGCTCTTTCCTTCAATCTGGAAATATGTCTTCTTTTTTTTTTTTTGTACTCGGTTATCATCCTCATACTGCTGACATCAGAGCCAACAGACTATTGAAACAATGTAACGGCAATTTTAATTTTTTAGAAAGAAAGTAAGAAATTTGGTACACCCACCCAAGGAAAATTAAGTTGTTTCCTATTAATTCTGTTTTTCCTGTAGCGCTTTACAACTACTTATTGACTATTGGGAGATTGAAGGAGCATATTTTTTCAAAATGGCCTCACATAAAAGGATTTAAAAAGTGTTTTCAACAATACATGATGCTACTTAGTATAATTTTGTGGACTTTTGTGTGAAGTTGATATTGATTATGATAGTTATTCTGCTCATCCTGCTTTTATATGAATGACTTTATATTCTTGCATTTTTGTCTTCAAAGGCCCTTTGTCATCGCATTAGGTATCTTGTTCGATCTTTATTGTTAAGTGCCTTTTGTCCAAAGCTTTGGATGTTTTTGGCTTCCTCTTCACCAAACTGCTGAATGTTTGATTTTTATTTTTAGAATATGCATGCTCACATTATTGATAATGATCCAAAGAAAGCTAGTTGGCTCAATTGTTTGTTTCCTAGAATTGCCATGGCCAAGAACAATTATTTGGAGGAAGGGAGGTTTCAAAAGGTTTGTGACGGTCCAGGCTACATGTTACTTAAGGCAGAAAATTTATTAGAACAATGACATTTAAAGCTACATGATGCTTGCATTACAATTTTCACAGTTTCTGTAACCTAGGGATTACAGGTTTCAACATAAGTTAAGGACCACTTGCAAACACTCTGAGTGGTGTTCTTGGGTCGACATGCACGTGGGCGTTCTTGGACTGGTCCAGTGGCTTGATGGCGCTTCCTCAGGGGGACAATGACAAAGTGTGACACTGCAAGCCTTCTGGCAACTTCTCGGTGGGCTCCAACTCCATTCTGCAGCCATGCCATAGCTCTGGCACGATCAAAGTCCCTCAGCTTTCGTCTCGGTGGTATATGATTTGATACTGGATTTTGCTCAAACGGCGGCTTATATATTGCCACCAAAGTGAGCACAGTTCGAGACCGTGCATCTGTTATGACGTGCACTAGAAATTTTAACTGAGGAATGTCCGTGGTTTCGCACACAAGTCGATAAAAAACTGCAAATGTGGTTAAAATTCCCTGAGGATTCCATGCTGCCTGTAGTGGTTTTGCCCCTTTAGGAAGCTTTAGATTAAAGTACGCATTGGTAACCCATTAACACTTTCAGAGAAAAAAATTGTGAAACATTCCTTGCTGTCTTTTTTTTTTTTTTCGGATTAAAAAAAATCAGGGCTGTCTGTCAAAGTGGTCCTTGACTTATGTTGAAGTGTGTAGTATTTTGATTGACTGTAGTTTTTAGAATGATACTGAAACAGTTTTGAAATAGCAGTGGAATTATAAATTCATGGCGCTGGCTCATTGGCCTACTGAAGCTTGAGGGATGTTCAAAGCTATGACTTGAAAAGGAGAAAAAGTATCCCTGTATCGTGATGTTGCTCATTTTCAAATGGGGATAAAAAAAGATTTGAATATTTTTTTTTTGGGGGGGGGGGGGGGGGGGCATGTGGAGTGGAGAGTATGCCCTCTGCCTCAGTGATGCCTCATGTTCCTGAAGCAGAAGCCTGTGACTTTTGACTGATACACAGTAGTGTTGTCACATCAGTATTATCTTGTTATTTGTCATTCAACATAAATAACATGTATGTTTAGGGAAAAGTGTATATGTATGTATATTATTATATACCTTGTGTTGTGATGATGATGATGGAATTACTTTGTTTATGTCCACAATGAAGCTGCTGAGAACCTGAAAGGAAACTTATATTTTATGACACATGTTAAATCTGTTGTGCCTTGTTATTTTTATTCTATTTTACCTCTATCTACGTGTTGTGGCCATATGGGGAGAGCTCTTTCTCCTTGTTTCTTCCAATCCCAAACACAAACTCATCTACACACGAACTCACAAAAACATTTTCTATATTGTAAGATTTTTGTCTTGTGATCTTTGATGTGCTTTTAAAAAGATTTTTTAAGGAATTTGTAAAGTGATTTCAAAGACTGTTTTTTGCATTTTTGTCTTCAAAGGCCCTTCGTTATTGCATAGCGTGTTATTAGGTTAGTAGAATGCTGATGCTTTCCCCTGTAGGTTGTTTGTAGGATTTAATGAAGGAGTTGGCAATCATGAAACGAGCTCAATCTTAAACTCTGCTATTTTTGTTTAAATTAGACCTTAAATGAGTTGATCTATAGCACAGTTTCTTGGTAATGCCTTAAGATTTTTCTTAATTTACTCAAAAGGCCAATACAACATCTTTTTTATGAACGTTGCAACATTTTGACTAAATCAAAGCATATTGAAGAAAGACTGGAAAATTCTTTTCCTCGCCTGAGCACTCACCCATTCTTTACATTCTTTTTGGTCGTTTTGTTTTTCATAATATTCACATGAACGCTTTTCTTTTCGGCCATCTTACGATGTGTTTGGGTTGAACCAATGCATAATTGTGAATATTACGTGCATGTGCTATGAAATTAGGTTTCAAAAGTCTTCTCCTGTCTCTTTAGCTTGGTTCTTAATTTTTTCCTTGCCACTGTTTCCATAAGTTTTGTCTTCCTATTTTATAAGTGTGGCACTAATTCCCAAGCTTTCTTTGAAAAGAAGGCTCCAATTCAATATTGAATACGATAGTGGTAACTTGTATCGGAATACCGTTGCTGACTGACTGTCAAATAAGGAACAATTGTAACAAGTGCCGTTTCCTTTGTTCATAGAATGAGCGTGTAGTGTGCGTATACGCATAAACATGTATTTGCATGGGACTCTGCAAGTACAAGAACCACTTTTATTTATGAAAAGAAGTTAATAAAAGTGCACTGTGTCGTTCTTCCAACAGCTTTCCATAAGTCTGTTTACAGCTTACGTTATAGTCCTGTATTCTCCGACTCTTGACAATGTCTTGTTCTGGATCAATCTGATCACCCATGTTCAAGGATTTCGTCGCTGTCAAGAGGGGGGGAGGAAGGGAATTCAGCTCAATTCACGCAAACAAATTACTGTTTGGCTCCCGCTTCCCATGGAAGAGATGTTAAATTGGTTTTGCTGTGAAGAAGACATTTTGTAGAGCAACGGGATCTTTTAACTGGGATGTAGCATCCTTCACAGCCCTGATTGAATCTAGAATCTAATAGATCTAGTGTGCTTATTGAAGCATATTTATGGCAACTAGTAAGTTATCAAATATAGGTGCCTAACACTAATACTGTACGGTTTGTGAATTCTTGCATTTTCAATGGGCGAATTAGTAGCAGTGTGTTGTACATGATTCAGTTGTTCTTTAGAGTTCTAAGGCAATCCCTTTGTGGCCTTATACTTATATATTTTGCAGTTCTTTTGTATGCAATATAATGAAGGTTGTGCTGAATTTTAGGGGAAATTTTACATAGAGGCAGAATCTACCCTCCTTGTGGTTACATTATATATATGCTTTTGCTCTTGAATCTTCTTCTTTTGAAGACCATGGATGTTCCTTGAATGCAGCATTCATTTTGACTGTTGGTAGTATGTATCACACTTTAGTTTTATTATTTTTCAAGTTAAGACTTGTATTTGTAGAAGTTTTCTATAAATACAACATTCAATTTTCACAAGTGATGTAATGGATGGTGATTTGCATTTGTGTTTTAATGTGGACATATATATATAATGGAATTGGGCAACAGGAGTCTATTCAGTTGAAATGGCAGTGCATTCCTTCGTAATGATTTTAATGTAGTATGCAGAATGTGGAGATTAGAAATACTGCGGTGTCCACTTAACAGCAATACAGATTAGAGCAACATCCACCTAACAGCAACCTCAGCTTGTGTAATGGAATTAATTTTCCTTTAAAAGTAACAGTCTTACAAGTAATTGTCTGACAAAAAATTTTCCCACCCTCTCGCCAAGAGCCACCGTCCTTCAAGAGTCTCCCAACTGGGGTGTGTGTGTTTATAAGGGGGGGGGGGGGGGGGAGGGATCTGGGCCACTCGTATTATGCTTACAATATCAAAACAGCCTTGCAGTTGGGCATCAGCTAACTTTAAAAGAGAAGCTGTGATCAGACCTTGGCACTGATGCTGCCAATAATCTAGCCCCGCGGAAAATTGCGTTTTTTAAAATGAAAAATTGCAAAAAATTGCAACCTTCCCATCCCGGACGCATTATCATTAATATGGGCTTAACATTTTTAGTTTAAAAAACATGACAATTTGAGTACCAAAAGCAGAACAGCCTTTTAAAAAATCATGACACACAATAGGCATACAAATTTTATTAGCAGCATTTACTAGTAACTACACACGAGTACGTACAATAAAGTTATCAACCAAATTTAACATAATACCGTGTGACATAAAATAACAGAACCCTCGGTTTTTGTAATAACCTTTAAATGAAGGCATAAAATTTGACAGAATTTAGTACATACCGGGTACTTGTTTCATGCAAAGATCTAGAAGTGTATGAAGTTTCATGAGGTGTAGTCTATAAAAACAAAAAATTTTGACGTGAGATTTTCAAAACAACCTTTAGAAATACAAAATAAACGTATGCTCCAATCAATTCAGATCCTGTTCTATTTTTCTCTTGAAACCTTCGATACACCGGTAATCTGTTTTTAGATCTATTTCAGATATTTTCTGCTTTAGAACCTGTGTATGGTATTGTTTTAACACTAAGTCCAATCGTAAAATACAGCAAAAAACATGTTTTTTCCATAAACAAGAGTAATAATAACAATGTAGATCGTTTCTATAGTGCCCACTCGTGTGTGAACGCAGCTTAAGGCGTTTGACATAACGGAGTGTCTTCGCACGCAGTAACCGGCAACCGGGCATGTAGTCTCAATGTCACGTACACAGTAACCGGGCTGTTCAGAACTCCCAAGTTCCGTTTTTGTCACCCGGTGTTGCCTTCAACCCCAGCCCTCTCCTGACTGTACCTTTGAAAGAATCAATAATCCCCCCATTCCGGAGCCCTATACTTCGCAGCGCACAAACTTTGAATGAACTTTGGTGATCCCAACCGGTACTCACAATGTGATGCAAAAGCACAGGTTCACTGACTGGTCATGATGACGAGCCTGACAAGACTGACAAGACGTTTGTATGACTTTTTTTTTTCAACAAATGACAGCACAGGACAAATATTGATTTATTTTCATTCCGGTTAGGTACCGTGTAGGTATAATGGATACTGAGACTAGGTGCCTGGTTACCGTGTATGTAGACACTCCATTTACATAAATGCATCATGTACGAACAATATTCACGCGCGCGCACACACACACTCACGCACACCTTACACGCACACCACACACACGCACACACCTACTTGCTTATCACACGCGCACGCTTACACACATTAGATCTTTGTCTCAGTTTGTGTTGTACGTGATGTATTCCGGTCTGAATTTCCGGTTATAGCTTTTAGAGTACGCCCAGTAGGCTAGAGCTTGGGCGATATGTACCATGATTTACGCAGACCTATCGGCTCTGTACTCGCACCATGTCATATTTAAAATTTGGTTAAAATTAAAGCGTTGATGTATTTTTGCAGAAAATTGCAAGACAATTGTGAAAATTGCGGGTTTATTGCAAAACTCAATGAAAAACGCGGCCGCAACGCGATTTCCTGGGGGGCCGGAACAATGTTCTCACCCTCTGACGTAACAGCATCACCACATACTGCTCGTATTGGGTGTTTTGCTTGTGTGTGTGTGTTTGTCTATTGGTGAGAGAGAGAGAGTGAGAAAGGAGGTGGGTGGTTGGCGGGTGCTCTGGTGTGGTTTGCCTCTTCTTTCCCATCGAACGTCTATCGTCCTTATTTCCCCTTCTTTTTTTTATGTTTGTTACTCTCTTGTAACACCTCTATTCTTCTGGCGCTCATATGACCTTATGCAGTTGCGAGCGCCGTAAAACCTCTACTAAAACTAAAACTACTGAGAAAGGAGGGTAACATTTCTTTCTAGCAGTTTAGTTTCTATCCCCCTACTCCCAAAAATTCAATTAGCAGCAACAAACGCCGAACAGCAACAAAGGCTTGCTTCCCAGGGGTGTTGCTGTTAAGCGGATACCACTGCATCTTGTTTTTTAAAAATTTAGTTTTGCTCTTATATCGGCCTCTAGGGTAGAAGTTTTTTAAAAAGTTGTCCACGGGTCTAAAATAGTAGTGGAACCTCTTTACGAAATTCTTTTTATTGCTTGTTATTATTAGCAGACTGGAATCAGAGAGGTATACTCTTTCTACAATCACCATTCCTTTGACAATGTGGCAGTTTTTAATGTGTTTTCATTCACACTCAGTCAAAATATAATTCTTTTTAGAAATTGGACAGTCAACAATTTTGTAATTAGATCAGTTTTAAGTTTTAGATTTTCTCAATCTTTCATGGTTTATTGCTAGTCTGTGAGTACAAGTAATTTAGGTGTGAGGTTGTGAATATAATCACTTAATAATGTGTACGAGATTTAAGCTTTTTAAAAAATTTCCCAAAGCTTTGTTCCTCCATGTGATGGGATGGAATTATTTCTCTCGTGTTACCGTAGACTTTTATAGTTTAAAAGTAAAACAATGAAGTAGATTGATGTAACTGGTAATGTTTATTGTTTTTCATGTAAATGCCTTTGAATACTTTGGGGAAATTATGGTTTTGGAACTGTCACAATAATTTCAGACCTGATTTATTATTTTTTTGTTAATTAATGCACACACTCACACAAGAACATGTCTCACAGAACATATTTATGTATCACTGGAGCTTTTTATTTATTTTTTGCAGTACTTATTAAATCATTGTGAACTTTCTGTGTGTGCCTCTGGCTCTTTTTTTTTGTATGAAATGGGAACAAATCACTCGGATCAAATTTTGGCATCTGTTATGTAATACCTTTATTGTGTTTTAGTTGTCCTTTTTTTCACTCTGTGACTTTTATTATTCTATGTTTGTGGTAAATGTAATTATGCTAATTATTTTTATTGCATGCCTTGACTTAAAACATGATTTTATCAATACTTTTATATGTATTTTATTCACCAAATATAACTTTAATGCACTTTTTAGTCGCATGATAAAATATTTCAGCCAAGACTTGTTCCCAATAAATGTAATGTACTTTTATTATTCTTTGGAATTTTAAGTCTCAAAGATGTTGTGAATATAGTTGTTTGAGTATTTTTTGTACCATATTTATTTTCTATTTATCTTTGGTGCTTTTCTTAGTTAGTTAGTACTTAAAATATGGTTTTAGTTAAATGTCTGAGACCTCAAAGTTTTTGTTGGTTGCTAGAGCAGCACAGTCACAGAGGAAAATTTTTTTTTCTATCACACGTGATTAAATGTCTCCTTTGGAAATTTCAATTATTTTTTAAAACTAGTAAATGTTCCAACAGATTAAAGAGGAAAAGTAGTCATATTTGGGAACGGATATAGACATTCTCCCATACTAAACCTTATTGTTTGATAGACATGGAAGTAGCATTTTTCCTATAATCTGTGTAACTCATTCCCAGGTCCCATTGGTGGAAAGTAACCTTTTGAGAACAATATTGGTCTGTATATAAATATAATAGCTTTGGGTACAGACTTGATACTTACTTTATGCAGTGTGGCAATTTATTAGTTATAATTTCATCCACGAAAACGCGAATCTACAATTTTCCGTCATTTTTTCAGTTAAAGAATTAAAATGCTGTCTTTAGTTAGATTCCAATGCCCCATGCATGTGTGTAGATCTGTATGTATTGTAAGGTGCTCAGTTCCTGTGCTCATTGAAGAGTGAATTTATTGTACCTTTTACCATTACATTACTTAGTTTGAAAGGAAAAATAAAAGGATTGTGGGAAGTGAGGTCTGCATGGGGTTTTTGCATTATAAATGCATGACTCTTCCAAATCCATATGCAGCACATTTGGGAAAAGGAAAACCTGTTCGGAAGATCTTATCCAACAATTGGAATATGTCTGTGTCCATTGTGAGAAAGTTCCCTCCCCCCATCCCTTCATCTCTCTTTGTTTTCTTCCATTGTGTGGACTTTAAGTAAGATGCCTGTATTGTTCATCAAGAGACAGTTTGTACAAAAGTAAATTCCCGTGTCCCATCTTTTGTAAAATTATGACAAGAAATATTTGCAACCCCATTGGGATAAATTGGGTGGTGTTTGGTGAGAAGTCTATATCTGTGACTGAGATCTTTGCCTTTGAGAGATAAAGTGTACGTGATTTTTGTCTTGGAGAGAGAAATATTTTCAGTTAATATATGATTTACGCGATGCATAGATTAATGTAAAACATGAAAGTAAATTATGACTTCACACCTACGGGGTCATAGACAAGAATACTTGCTTGGGAGGCCCGACTGCTTTCCCAGGAGCGCAGACAAGTATAATCGTGAGCGAAATGACCTAGATCTAAACAAATGCCTGTCGATGTTTCCCCAAATATATTAATGTTTTCATTGATACATGGATTAGTTCTTCCGTTTTGATATTTTCCTTCCAGATTTCTGTCAGTTAAATATGGAAAATGATAAAGTGAGTTTCAAAAGGTATTTCACAGAGTCTGAGGGGATCGACGAAATTTCTAGGGACCCAGACAATGTTGACTTGGACAATGGCGACTTGGACAATGGCCTTGATTGTTTAAATCGGGAGTCTTCAGATCAAGAACAAAGTGGTGAAAAATGATTGAGGAACAATTTACATTGTAAGTAGATCAAGATCCACGATTTAATCTTTTATCCCTGTTAGGAACCGACTGTTTACAATATATATGAAAGCTTACTATTTCATAATTAATCACACCTAAATGACTCAAACCAAAATAGTTTTTTTCAACGAATTTATAGCAAAGGTAAACATATTCTAAACATTTTGGTGAATTTTCATATCTATAACTTCACTAGAAGCAGAGTTATTGATATTAAAGTAACTCATATCTCGCATAGTCAGAAAGCAGGTGGCAGCTCTGATCCTGGGGAAGTGAAAGTCAAGTGTGAGGTGTAGGTGTTAACGAAAGTTTTCTTTCTCCGGTATGTAAGCGGACTGGGAATAAGAATTAAACTTAGCTTTTCCATCCATGGAAATAAAAGTAGCTTTTGAAAGATGAATTGACACACAATACCTTTGCTTGAGTTTCATTTTACTTCTTTGCTTCACTTCCTGAGTACTGGTGTTTCTGTTATCTGTCTTTTATGGTAGCTGTGCTGAAAGTTCTCATTGGCCTTCTTCTTGAGTGCCAAAAAGACCCAATGTGTACTTTTCAAGTGCAATAATGTACATGTCTGATATTTATTTTTAGAAACAAAATGATATAAATATAATTTTGTCTACTTTTGCTGCTTTAATCAACACTATGCAACAAGAGTTGTTAAGTTCCCTCCCTGTGAAAAGCATTGCTCAATTGTTCTCCTAAGTCCAAAATTTTGTCTGCTTTGAACACACCATGTATTTTTTCACAGTGGAACCATGAAGGTTGTGAACGGTTCCTGGAAACAGGTTTCACAAATCCATACATTTCATCAGTTGATGTACTTTTTATGTGCTTGTACTTGTACTGGCAAAAGGAATAATTTTAAAAAAGAGATATTCATTTTTCCCCAAGGGAGTGCCTTTGAACACCAGCTTAGAAAATTATTTTAGCTTAAAACAAAATCTCTGTATGCTTTATCTTCAGTTCATTTCAATTCTGTCAAGCTTTGACCATTGATTTCAATACATGTGCCTCAATTTGTTGACCAGACTCTGTTTTATTTTCTTGCTTTGTTTTCAGTTGACCTCGCATGAGTTGATCATATTCTATTCTCTGTATTATATTTTAATGTTGCATAAAGGAAATCATCCATGTACCAATAAAATTTTCATGTGCAATACACATTCAAGAACAAAAGGAAATGATTTTTTGTGTTGGTATGTTTCAGAGCTTATGAACACTAGATAATCGTTTTATTGTCTTGCATACTTGAAATTTTTTGTTTTCTCGTTTCCTTAATTGAGACCTTGGGAAATTTCAGAGTTTCCTGCAAGGGCAAAGGGACTTGTAAAAAAGGGAAATAGTCTAGTCTAGCATACTTACCGAAATTGGTGGGACTCTTGAAATCTTTTCGTTATACATGTATGAATTTCCCTTTGTATGCAGGTTGAAAACAAAGGATTGAGGTATAAAACTTTAAAGGGGAGAATTCGGGAATAGAAAATTTGTTTTGCTTTGTGCATGTTTTGTTATATATATATATATATTTTGGTTTTTGTAAAGTATTTTACGGCGCTCTCAACTGCATAAGGTCATATGAGTGCGCGGGACACACCTAATATTTTCAGTTGGTAGGAAATTTTGAATTTTGCCCGGGTGGTGGCCGAAGCCTACTCTTATCGATTTTAGACCACCAAGGGATCTTTAACGTGCGCAACTTGCACACGGGCCCTCCGAGATTTTTCGCCCTTGTCCGAGAAGGCTAGGAGTAGATCTTTCCTACCAGAAGATCAGGGGTGTGGCTGAAAGACAGCAGTAAGAAGAAGCGAAGGAGTAGCAGTAGAAAGGCTGCAGAAAGAATCAGGAGCCCAGAGGAAGGGGCAGAGGGGGTGGGGGCAGAAACAGGAGACGAAACAGACGACAGAACATTGCTAGAGAGCAGGAAATGAGGTGAAAGGAGACAAATTTAGAGAAGAAATTTTTCGGTCACTACTCGGATTCGAACCCGGGACCTTTTGAATGAGAGGCCAACACCTTAACCTTTAGGCCACGAGAGCCCCCACATATATATTTATATATATATATAAAAATAAAAATGTGTGTCTGCTAGACTGTAGCCTACTTTACTCTCCCATCAACTCTATTTAGAAAGTGGGCTGCTTTGATTCTGCTGGTCATGAGCAGCCCAGGCAGATGTTCTCAGTGAAATAATTCCTGTTGGTGGTTTGCGGGTGCTCTGGTGTGGTTTGCTTCTTCTTTCCTATCAAACATCTATAGTATTGTCCTTATCTCCCCTCCTTTTTTATGTTTGTTACTCTCTTGTAACACCTCTAATCTTCTGGCACTCACATGACCTTATGCAGTTGCGAGTGCGGTAAAACCTCTACTAAAACTTAAAATAATTCCCTTTATGCTTGAAGTTGAAGGCATGTTATCTGCATGAGACAGCAAAGAGACCAACCTTTACATCACAGTTGCTGGTGCTGAGGGATTGCGGGTCCTACAACTAGAGGAAAGTAGTCTCTATTGCCCTCACGTAGTCTGAATCAACTTGTTGGGTTCTTCATTGTACAGTATAACCCGGATAGGTCGAACACATTACACGTACTGAAAATCACACATCTGAGCCTGCGGTCCCGTTTTTTCTTCTTTATCTTTGTAAGAAAATTACGCGAAGCTCCAACACAGACACGGAATAGTCTAACTAATTCCGCCACCATAGAGATCTTAAAGTCAACGTCATTTGAGGAGCTCTTGAGACAAAATAATATTAATACATGTAATAAAAACGGAAAAGGGCAAGGTATGTAAAATACTTCCGCTCTCCACCCTTCCAGAGAAGCAGCTAGCTGTGCTATTTTTAGCGCTACTCGATACACGTGTCTAGGTCTTAGACCTGTTAGGCTTGAGTGGAGCGGGCGAGAGGAGTGAGGAGGGGTTTTGCATCCCACAATCAACTTGATTTTTGCTTGAGGGAACTTCATTTTAATTAAATCGAGTATCTCCACCAGCTGTACGCTGGGATGTTGTTTCCCACTCAGATTGGGTTGGCCTCTACAGGCAAGGTAAAAGCAGCCGGCCTCCTGAATGATCTAAAATTGTATCGCTGAGGGTATAAAAACATCCATTTCCTTTCTTTTTCTTTTGCTCCCCATATCACTCAAGGTACTTCAGCTAAAATTATATGAAGGCCTATATGTGACTTACTTTTAGAAAATGATGCTCTTGTAATTAGTTTAGTAGACCTACATGGATAGACCTAAAGCCCCTGTTTTATGTAGTGATAAATTGTATAACATTAGTTGTATGTGGGTGCTCTGGTGTGGTTTGCGCCTTCTTTCCTATCAAACATCTAATGATCTATCGCCCTTATCTTCCCTCTTTCCTTTTTGTGTTTGTTACTCTCTCGTAACAATTAACACCTCTTATCTTCGGCACTTTATAATATCACCTTATATAGTTTTGCAATTGCCATAAAACTTGTACTAAAACAGATTAGTGGTATACAATGTTAGTTTATCAAACTGCATAATATATTGTTTGCACTTTCCAGTTTATCGTCAAATTCTCATTTGAATAGGGAGATTCCTCTTTGACTTTGAGCCAGGAAGCAGTTGTGACTTTTGGCTATGAGTCATATGACCAGAGATTTGCTAGCACTGTGTCTTGTTACTGAACAAAAGGCTTATTTGGACAAAAGAATGTCTACATTTAAAGTGAAATACAATGTATTTCACTCATTCTGATATTCTGATTGTTTTAAATCATGAAGTTTTTAGTTTCACCTTGACCAATTAAACTTTGTGGGTGGGTGGTTGGCGGGTGCTCTGGTGTGGTTTGCTTCTTCTTTCCTATCAAACATCTATCGTCCTTATCTCCCCTCCTTTTTTTATGTTTGTTACTCTCTTGTAACACCTCTATTCTTCTGGCGCTCATATGACCTTATGCAGTTGCGAGTGCCGTAAAACCTCGAATAAAACTTTAAAAACTTTGTGAAATGACAAGTTCTTCATACGCTTCATAATAATGTGTTACTGTAGTCTTTGTTTGAACTTAATCTTCCTCTGACATTTGTGGGATCTGTACATTTCAATATAAAGAGAAGAACAGTCTCTTTGGACTTGGACCAAGTTGCAAATACATGTAGGCCTTACTACATAATGACTGCAGTGTAGTAAGCTGAAGTGGCATCACAATTATATCAGAACTCAGTGCAGACGCCCTGATCGGAATCTACCAAAGACCAGTGTCTGTGGCAGAGCAATTAAAAATGAAGTACTTCATTGTCACATGCAGGAGATCTGAGTTTGATTTCCAAGTGGGAGAAATTTTTACGGAGTATTTCCACTTTTACTTTTAGCTGATGTTTTATCACTCTCCACCCTAATTGGCACTGGCAGACATGGTAAAATAATTTATTTTTTTTGTTGTTGTAATTATCAAGGTCGCCTAGTAGTGATGGGCCGATACCACAATTTAGGTATCGATGTCGATACCTAGTACTTTTTCTAGGTATCGATACCGATACCTCGATACCTAATGCTATTGGTAACATACGCCGGGGGTAATAAGTAAAGACAAAAATACAACTATACTTTTCCAAGTATTTAGGTAATCGTGTCTGGACAAGTTGTGACTATTTAGCTGAGACTCAAACAAAAATTATTTGTAAAAGACAGAGAGAGACAGAGACAGAGAGAGAGAGAGAGATAAATACCCAAATATGAGAACAAAAACAAAAATTAAGTGAAGTATTGGAGGAAAGTCAACTTCGCAGAAAATGTTAGTATTGGAAAATAAAAACACAAGAGTTCTAAAAAGGCAATTCAATTTACCAGATTTTTAGCAACTTTAAATTAAACCAATGAGGATAAATCAGGGTTGTCAGTGAAGATTTTGCAAAATCACTAGATGATCTATAGATTTCATGAAAAACTTCTCTCTTTTTGTTAAAAAAATCACTAGATTAATTTAAGACGCTTGCCCCCTACAAAAACTTATCAGTTTTGATAAACAAAAAATTTTTCAAGGCCCAAGTCACTTGCTTTGGCAGCCCTGGGATAAATAACACATAGGTATCGATGTTTAGAGCAGGTATCGGCAATGATAATACATAACAAGATGGGCCACTCAGCCAAAAAAGTGTCCGCAGGAAGTATGCTCTTTGCTTCAGATGGCGCTGCAGTCTGTTTTGAAGCTCTCTTTCGTTTTTCCAGAAAAAGAATAGGAATAGCACCTCCTTGCGTGCGCAGATCGACTGCTGTTCATCAGCAGTTCGGGTACGTTCAGTGCGGAGTTTTAGTTTTTAAAAATTTTAATGACCTCTCGCCTTTCACTCTAAAGTCAAATTAAACAAAGAAAACCATCACCCTTTCCTCCGGAAGAGGTTTTTTGTCAGCGTAACCATTTTTAAAAAGCGTTCTTCCGAAATTTATCCCAAAACTTGCTAGTTTCACTTTGATTTTTAAAAACTCAAGTAGGGTAACTCTGTTCGCAAAGAGTGCGCTTTTGTGAAGAGGGCGCCACCAAATTTTGAGGACACTTTTTTAATTGGCTCAAAGAGAGAAGTGGCCCATCTTGTTATGTACTATCATTGGTATCGGTACCGATACCAATACCTATAGGTATCTTAAGTATCGAGTACCTGGTATCGATACCTGCCCATCACTATCGCCTAGTGTGTTGTGCATCTGATGTCAAAGCTTCTTATTCTAATATTACACTCTGCACAGTCACTGGATATAGTGGAACTAAAATTTAACGAAGTCATTGGGCCTGACCTTCAATTTTGTTGAATCAGAGTGTTCGTTATATATACAGTCGAACCTGTATAAGACGGCCACACATTGTCAAGGAGAAAAGTGGCCGTATAAGACAGGTGGCCGTCTTAGGCAGGACTGATCAAGATGGAGAAAACAAATCATTCCTTTCTAAGAAAACAAACCCTCCCTTTCTGAGTTCCCAACCGAAGGTGGTTGCATTGTTTCTTGTTTTTGTTGTTGTTTTCACTGGGTTTTCTTTTCTTTTGTAGCTGCTTTTGTGCACGGGTGACAATAAAAGGAAATGTGTCAGACAAGGAGGATCAAGTGCTAGGGTAAAACAAACACACGTACTACCACTCGGAGAACAAGCAACTCTTCTGTCACAAGTTCATGCTGACGTCCATTGTTACTTTGTTAAGGGTAAACAGTGACCACTAATCTCACTTGCGATTTGTGTATGGGTTCTGGGAGGGGCTTATGGGTTATGAGGGATCACACACTTCCCTCCCCAGAAGCTGAAAATTAATTTTGTTACCTATTGGTCAACAGTGGGAGGGGCCTACGCATCATGATCAGTTGGAGGGACTACCTAACAACGACAGGTTTTTAGATTATGACGGCTCGCCCACAACGCCAGGGGCCAATGCTTGATTTATGACAAAGCGTAATGGAGTCACTAAGGTGGCCGTCTAAGACGGGTTATTGATTTGTGTGATAGGGGTTGTGTGTTGAAATATGGTGGCCGCGGCCGCGTTGGACAGGTGCCTGTTTTACACAGTTAAATTATATAGAAAAAATGCAAGGGGGGAAATGGTAAGTGTCCGTTTGTACAGGTGGCCGTCTTATAGAGGTGGCCGTCAGGGCAGGTTCGACTGTATATAGAACTGGACGCTGTGGAAGCTGTCAGAAAAATCTGTCCCCCACAGTACAGGACCATGTTAAGGGACCTCTACCAATCCACACCTTTACTAAAACGTCTTTCATACTCTGAAGTTAAAATATAAATGACAAAGACGGACAAAAAATTTTCATTTCTTTAATAATTCATTGCTGTTTCTTCAACAAATGGTGACGACGAATCCCGTGAGAAATTGCCCTTCTCACACACAAATAAACAACAGCCGCAGGCTTGAGTGAGGATTGTTGTGTACAAAGTGTACAAAGTGTACAACAAAGTGTACAAAGTGTACAAAGTGTACAACAAAGTGTACAAAGTGTACAACAAAGTGTACAACAAAGTGTACAAAGTGTACAACAAAGTGTACAACAAAGTGTACAAAGTGTACAAAGTGTACCAAGTGTACAAAGTGTACAAAGTGTATGATGTAGATGGCGTCAAAGGGCTGAAAAACATTCTGAGAGAAGAAAAAGTGGTTAGACAAATTACTACCTCTAGCAGCCTTCACAAACAATTATACGAGTTATCTTTGTCTCTAATCATGTATACAACTAGACAACTGAGTATAGATATTTTCTCAAGGGAAGTTTCAAATTTATACACAATGACCCTGACTCATCAGCAAACTTAACTTTGCAGACATCCCATCTTGCATCTCTCTACTGCTTGAGCAAATCAGAGTCCAAAACCATAGAATATATGAAATATGAGACACAATAGGAAATAGTGTGTAAAATGGACTGCATAAGAACCTCACCAATTGACCATTTAAAAAAATCATTTCATCGCTTTACCATTTTCTGTTCAATATTATTATAAAGTTCAGAGGAAACAAAAAGGCACATGACATTTTATTTGTTATCATTTTTTCTGGGTTCATTTTAAGCAAAAACCACTGTATTGTTTTCTGCGTAAATAGCTCTAGTAATGTCCCTTTTCTCATCTGCTCATCTCCAAAAATTATGTACACTACATGGTATCACAGGTGGGAGAAAAATAAAATAAAACAAACAAATCGCTACAGCACCCAAAATCACATGTTCACAGAGCCACTCAAATGCATTCTGTCACATCAAGCCTCCATTTAAGATACTTCAGTGGTTATTTCAAAAGCAAAATGGTAGCATACACATGACCTAAGTTAATCAATGACGTGCAAGTCACAAAGCTTGAGGACCTGAACACATTCTGTACGCGTACCAGGTTGTACATGTTTCAATAGTCTTTCTCGAGAAGACATGAAGGCTACAAGAAAAAAAACAACAACCCAAAAAACAATTTGTTAAACCTAGGGGAGGATAACTTTAAAAAAACCAAGGCATGCAGAGTAAAACAAGAACAAACTTTTATTTGTAACAGTGAAACAAGAACCTGTCTCAATCTGACACACAAGTACAATAAAGATAACTTTCCCTGGTAATCAATAATTAGAAGGCTGTACTGTAATTCAAGTTATGATTCAAAAGAAAAAGAACCAAGCCCACCCAGAGTTAAACCCTTTTTCACCTAGGAAAAAGTCAACAAAACAAAACATAACACTCATTTCAAGGTACACTTTCACAACTAATTCTCTAGTTATTCAATATAATTAATGGGAATCAGGGAAAACGTGGAAGATGTGGCTCGTCGAAAACTGTCCTTGTGCTGATATCCAGCTTATACTTATACTCTTGTTGTCATTTTCCTTTTTTCCTCTCTACTATTCTGCCCCTGCTAGCGTCACTGAAGGTAAAAGAGAAAAGACACCTCCCCCTCTCGTGGCACAATACAACTTTTCATACTATTCATCAAGTACACTTGAAACATCAAACAAAATCTGGTCAAAAGGAAAATACTTTTCGTCTGGTGCCTGAACTTGAAATTTAAAAATACAAGACATTTGTCATAATTCAGTATCACTGGAACAAAAAAAAAGAAGAAAGAATTACACTCCTGTTACCTGAAGCTAAAACACTACTTTTGAAGTGTAAAAATAAAAATTATGTAGTAATATGTAATCACTTTGCACTTTTTAGCTTTGCCCGTCTTACTATAAAGATAGTAAGTTTGAGTGAGTATTCAAAACATAAACTGGATTTTCACATGTAAACTGAGGGGGAAAAGCAGCAATGGGCAGAGAAAACATTTTGTATTAAGACTTCACTGTTCCCAGCAGAACAATTCTCTAGGGCCAAATCATTGCTACCAAACTGGAGCTGAGATGGAGTGACGCACATACTATACACGCACACATACCCTAGGGCACTCACTCTTCTACTTTCAACTAAACTAACATAATAGTGTATAACAAAATTCCCCTACACAAAAAGATGGCTAGCTTACATTTCATGATGGTGGAACAGCTTGTCACATTCCGTTCATCTTCAGATTTCATGTGAAAAGAATGATAACAAAAACTTTAAAAAATAAAATCAACTTTACTGTCAGTTTTCCTGTCATGCATAAAGTGTACAAAGACAACAACAACAATTGAACTCTTTACACTCACACACATTTTAACATTAAATACATCTTGATTCATTGCTCTTTACCAAAGACCCCCAACCTGCACTTATCACTACATGGTATTGGACAGAAGGGCGAGAGCCCAGCTATTGCTAGATCAATAACAACAACAACAACAACCAAACATAAGACCCCCCCCCCCCACCCAACCACCATCAAAGCATGCACACCCCAAAAAGGCCAATGAAAAAAACAACAAAACCAAATCTAAGAGCCTAAAGGACAGATGCAGACAAGCAGTTCAGAAATGCTATTCTGGTGTGGTTTAAGACAAATACATCAGCTTTTGTTGCTTTGGAAATAAGATAATCCAGCCACTAATGCATTGTGGAAAAAATACAAATATTGGTTGTGACATTTTCAAAAAAGAGGGATCCACAAAACAAGACAAACATTAGAGGGATCGGAGGGATATGGACAGAGAGCAGGTATCAGGAGCCATAATACACTATCTTTACACTAATCAGTGCGCAATAGATAATAATGCGGGGAATGAAGATTCTGCTCTTGAACATCTTTTGGGTCAACACTTCACAGCCGAGCTCTTGCATGCTGCCAGTCGCTATCCATACATCTCCTTGTCTTGTTCAATTTCCCTCTGCCGCCTCAATATCGCTGCATTCTTTTCTTTCATCTTGAGCATCCGCAGGTCAAGTTCATCAATGGGATCTGCTTGAGAAATCAAAGACATGACAGAGGATGCTTAAACACAATCAAAGAAGCATACTTGGAAAGTCGTAATTCAAGAAGCCGAAACGTCATGGCAGTCAACACCAGAATATAAAACAAGCAATTTTTTTTTGGCGAGAAGAGGAATAAACAGGATCAAAAGATGTGCAACATCAATATGTATGAAATTCTGTCCTAAATATTCTACAAACATCATTATGTTTTCCGCCCGCTAATCCCTAAAAGCACAGAGGAAAAAATTCTTGTCACACATACAATAATAACCGTGTTGATGGATGAATTATAGAATTCAAATTAAAAATAAAAACTTGACAATAAACATTTCTAAACAAATTCACGCAAAAAAGTGTAACTTTACGCTGAATTAAAAATCAATATAGAACATCTTATATTATCTAGGGTCAAGACTGCAAAAGAGAGGTGAAGCCCACTCTCAGATGATAAAATAAAATGTCTTTGACGGTAAAAAGAGATTCATTGACTCTGTTTGTCTTGTGATTAAAATAAGACAGACAGAGACAGAAACAACAGAGAAACAGTAAAAAACACATTTATAAAACTACCACTGGCCTGCCAACCAAAAGAAAAGAGATCCAAATTCAACACTTGGTTAATATCAAGACCATAAAAAAAACCAAAAAAACTAAGAGACCTGTATTCCATAATTCATCCATGTTTAAACAAAAAACCCCCCCAAAAAACGACTAAAAGCTGTTTATCACAGGACTAGAACTCACAAAAATCAAACAGATATGTATTATACAGTATAGACAGTATTTACAATAATAGATAAAATAATGCTCTGTACATTATCACAGATAAAAGCTGCCTGAAAGATTTCAAGATGGCACAATTTGGGAAAAGAAAAATCTCAAACAAAATTTTGGGGTTGCTCAATTTCATTCGAATTCAGTCCTGATTTTCTTCCAGAAACGCTGGCAAGAGATGCCTGACAAGAGCCCAGATCACAATTGATTTAATAATATCCATAAAATGAAACATGTGCTGAAGACTTCAGCTAATCAATGCTGCAAAATAACCCCTGAAATCTATTCCAAAACATTTTCTTAAAAGTCTGTGCACAGAGCAACCCCAAAATTTACTCAAACATTTATTGAAATTTTGTAACATAACATGAACACATTATATAGTTGCGATGGGAAATTAGATCATCTTCGCCAGTAAGTACAATAAAACAAAATGCACAATTTGAATTACACATATACTTTGCATTCCAAACAGCCCTTGAGGAAAAAAAGGGGGTCTTCAAAAAGCAGATTATCTTTACTCATTGAACATCATTTGCTGAGATTGTCTAGCAAATCAATATATCGTGATAGAAATGATCTAACATTCTTGAAGCATGCATTTACTGTGATTTACTAAGATGAAAATTAAAATGGTAAAACAACTACAAACTTACTCACTTGGTAGATAAAAAATGTCAGCATTCAAACCTCAATCATGTTCTCTTATTTTTAAACCCAACCCACAACCCACACTTTACTGAGCTCATTTCTCTTATCATTTCCTTTATCATTTCCTTCTCTTTCCCACAAACATTGCTGGTGTAAAGCTAGTGAAGTTCAAAGGGGAAAACAATTTATGGTACAATAAACTTGAATTGTTGATAATACAGGGGTCACTTACATAAACAATTTGAAAAACTTTTAATTTAAAATTTAATCTTGTGAACCAAAACAAAAGTTAATGCGTTGTATTACCCCCCAAAAAACCCCAAAATATACAGTCTCATCATAAAAAACGGGACGCCGAAAACATTCCATACTTCTAGAATTCCTTAATTTTTAAAATTAACCCACACAAAACATTTTTTTTTTAAAAGCAGTCTGTTCCTCCCTAGCATTGAAGAAATGAAGAAATTTTTCTAATATTTCCACTTTGCTTTCAAATAAGAAAAAAAGAGTAGAAGACCTTTAAAAAATTGTCACCTCTGGATGCAAAATAACCAGTTACTCGCTATGGTTAATACAGATATAATAAATAATGGGAAAGGAAGGGAAAACAGAGAAGAAGTATGCTTCTGTTTATAAAAAAAAACCCAGTAACAACTAGCAACATATACATCTACACAAAAGCTAAATCACCAAATATATCAATTACAAATTACTAACTTTTATTTTTAGGACTATAAAAATGTATCCATAAAACATCCCGGGGGTAACTCCTGAGTTTTAAACATATTTGTTATGAAAATGAGTAGTATATAAAACTATACCATGCATCAGCAAACAAACGCAGCTGATATAATTCTATAAATTATATTGTCTTAAATTACGTCACACAGACATTGGTCAATGGTATAGGAGAACAAAACTGAAAGAATATTCATCTTTGTCGCAAGAAAAATGAGTAACCCCATTTGACCATGCTTAACTCGTAACAGGGGTTGTAAAAAGTCATTCAATTTTCTTGTCAATAGTAATCAGCATCACTCTGAGATTCCACTTTTGTATAATGCAATATATTTACCCACGTAAAAAAGAAAATAGAAATCAAATCTTTTATTCACAACCCGTTTTTCTGTGAAAAATCCATTCCTTTTCTGAAGGACACACATCAAAGAAGAAATCATGAAGATTAATACTTTTCATTCAAGTATTAATTTCAGCACAAAATATCTTTCTTTACACACACGTCCCACCTGTCTTTCAACTAGACAGCGCAAGACCACACGGCCAAGGGGCGTGCTTTGTCAACTTTGTGACTAAACAACTCTAGGACAATCGCATTAATAACATAGACTCATAGACTGACCAGCGCCATCACCAGATCTATCCCCTATTAGACTGCAAAATGACATGGGAAGGCAATTATAACAACAACAACAACAACCAAACAAGCCCCAAGCATAAGAAAGTAAGAAGAACCTGAGCAATTGCTAGAAAGACCCTGACTGCAGATTTCTGAGCAGTTTACCCAACAACTTATATTTTCCGCGCCACAACAGAGTCAATCGGTCATCAATGTGGGAGATGGCTACACACAGTACTGATTTTATGAATTTGGAAATAAGGGTGCCTAACTTATGATGAATTATATCTTTATGAAAAAATGAATATATTTTAATGGAAATTATTAATCCTCATTTCTTCCTCTTCGATCTTCTGTGTCTTCGGGAAAAGGAAATGATTCTCTCAGGAAATTGGTTTTTGTAAATATACAATATTTGATTCCTATACACACTTTCTTTTTTCGGTAAGTACATAAAAGGTTTTAAGCTAAACATCCTTTACCTATACAAAAATCAGGAGTTGGGTGAATTTACTCAAATGTGTGGTTCTCACGAATTGATTTTTTGAAGGCACATCATGCATCTGTTTTCTTCAAAAGCATGTCTTGTGTTTCTAAACTAGCTGTACAGGAACTAAGAAGTGGGAGAGTTAAGTTTTGACCCAGTATCTCATTTTCTCCACACCATTGAAAAAAGTTTGTCAGGAGCTTAAGCACCATTAACATCCATTTCTGAAAGAATGGGTGGTAGGAACTGCGCAGCCAACATCCCTGTATTTTAGTACACTGTAAGGTCACCTATAAGTTCAAGAACAACCCACTGGGGATTTGAACCTGGGTCACCGGCACCAAAGGCCAACATTACACCAACTATTACTAAGCTGTCGCCACATCGTAGGATGTGTGGGGAGCTTCAACGAGAACATTAAAAGCCTGTCACCTGAAGCACTAGCATCAAGGTAAAAAATCTACTCCTGAGCTGCTAAATCTTGCAATAGGTTTGAATTATACATTTTTCAATTTGAAACCATTCAACTCTGTAGCCTATTGAAACAAAAAGGAAAACAGTATCCCTTCAAGACAAAAACTAAACACTGAATTCCAAGGGAAGCTTACAGACTTTTTTCCCCTCATTAAGAACAAAAACAATGTTTTCGTTCCATCTGTTCACTGTTGAAGGAAGACAAGGAAGCGACTAGTTTGTATACAACATGAAAGGAAAAGTATACAAGTATGATGTTCTATGCAGTGGGTATAGAAGCTAGAATGGGCTTAAACACCAACTTCATGGGTCTTATACTTCACTTTTTTTAGCTTTTCTTTCCCCTGATAATTTTTTTAAAAACAACACTTTTCTCTTCTGACATTTTAAAAACTAGTTCACAAAATTAACAATGACACTGTTGACTGTTAACACCTTAAACTTTAGGTAAAGTTTATGAGGGAAAATATATTACCATTGAAAAATTAGAAAACCACTTGGTTCTGAACACAGTTTGGCACTTGAATATCAATATACTGAGACATGTGAGAGGATGAGGTAGTGAGTGCACGAATAATGATCGATGGCAATCTAAATATAAATATGTGAATAGGTAAAACATGGAATGTATTGTACTTTCTAATACTGGACCAAAACGATATGCTCACCATCATCTGAGAGATTTTTTTTCTTTTTTTTCTTCTTCTCCTTTGGTTGACTGATGGGTACCTTTTTGCCTAGCCGCTGCAAAACAGAAGGTCTCGGAGCTTGTATGCGAGGCTGGCTTACCACTGCTGCGTCCTCCTCCACCTCCTCCTCACTACTGTCAGCTGCCATATCTTCCTCCTCTTCTCTGAACTGTTTTTTCTTCTTTTTCTCCTTCTTCTTTTTCTTCTTCTTAGCCTTCTTTGCTAGTATCGCTGCCACATCTTCAGCATCTTCTTCTATTCTGCGCTTAGCTGGTACTGCATACACATGAGAAAAATCTAGCTTCCCCTTCTTTGATTTCTTTTTCATAACTTCTGAAGGAGCCACTTGCACTTCAATGCGCAGTTTTTCTGGAGGAATATCAGCTTTGAACGGCTTTGCTGCTACAATACTACTGGTTAGCCGAGCTGGGGCATCGTCATCTTCACTGTCGTCTTCCGACACAAATTGCTCTTGCTGTTGGCGATGGTGTCTTGCAAACAAACCACCATCCCTTGCATACCTGGACGCATCTCCTCTTCTTTGTTTCTCAACAAAGCCACCATCTCGCCGACGAGAATTAGACAAAAGATCATCTTTTACTGCTAAGCGACCACGGCGATGCGAAATGGCTTTATCAGCACCTTGACGAATTAAAGACTTTGAGGATTTTTTCCCTGTATTCTCCTCCTCACGCCACGCTCTGCCCGACTCGGATTCATCACTGTCATCTTCTATATCCTCAAGGGCCACCTCTTCCTCTTCATCGCTTTCCTCTTCCTCCTCAACCTCTTCTACTTCTACTGCTTTTTTTCTTTTCCCTTTCACATTATCTACTTTAAGATTGCTCAACTTTGAACCTTTCTTTGCCACTTCTTTTGTCTGACTAGCCCTTTTCTGCTTCTTGGATCGCTCTTTGATGCTCTTCAGGGAAACTTTCTTTGAAGGATCAATCTGAACCTCACTACTAGCAAACTTTCTCCTCCTTGCTTCAAATTTGGCTCTCTCCTCTGGCGTAAGTTTATCTAGATCTGCCTGAGACATGACAGGCTCTTCAGGACTGGCATCCAATGCTTTTACCTTCTCCTGCCTCCTTGGACTATCTTTGGCAGGCGACAGATCACGAGACGGTCGTTCCCTGCAATCACGGGATCCCGATCGTCTGTACCTACCCCTATCTCTGTCTGCTGGGCGATCAGCAGACCTCTTGCGAGCACCTTCCCTACTTGAATACCTGTCTCGGTCTCGTCTTTCCCCGTAACGTGAAGCATTGTAATTCCCGGGATGCATGCCCCTTTTCTCGTCAAGAGGACGAGTGATGGGTGAGCCTCTCCTGCGGTAAGGAGACCGACTTCTTTGATCACTTGTCCTGTTTCTCCTTGAAGGAGAAAGTGAACGTCTTCTGGGAGAATGCCCTCTTGGAGGGGGTGACCCTGACCGTCGGCGATGGGGCTGAGATCTACGAGGGGACGTTGATCTCCGAGGTAGCAATGATGGAGATCGAGGGCGTGTAGTAGGGGACTGATACCTCCTAGTGGGAGTTCTTTCATATGGGGGAGAACGAGACCTGCGGTACAGTGGGCGGCCCCTTGGTGATAACGAACGTTTATGTGGTGAACGATCTTTATGAGATGGTGAGGTGGGAGATTTTGAAGGTCGCCTTGGTGAGCGAGATCCCCGAGAAGACAAATATTTGTGACGTGGAGAAAGGGGAACAACTGCCTCAAGTGACTCTTTATGGCGTTGTGGTGAAAGCGATGATGTCAACGGGTCCGTCATAGGTGACACATTCCCATCATCAGTCAGTGACACTGTGGTATCCGCTGCCTGACTAGGTAGAGGTGACTTGCTGGGGTCTTCTTTACCAGAGTTCTTAGCTCCAGTTTTTCCTCCTTTATCATCCTCCTCCTCTTCCTCACTGGACGATTCACCAGAACTGGATGAGGAAGAGGAGGAGGATGATGAAGAGGACGAAGACCCAGGTGATTTATCTACACTTCCTTTTTGAGAATCTTCTACCGGCTTAGAATCCTCTGGAACAACATCTTTAGAATCATTAGCAATAATTGTCACAAGGTCACTGTCGGGAGGCGATATATCGGGCTCCTCTGTCACAACATTGGAGATATTACCATCATCACACAAACCCACATCCCCTAAAAGAACTGGTTCATCAGCAGCCAAGGCGTCCAAGTCTATACTGTCAGCCTCGCTGGCAGCAGGGGACACAGGGGCTGACCCGTCATCCTTTGCAAGTTCATCCAAAGTCTCTTCCTCTCCTTCCTCCTCATTCTCTGAAATATCTAACTTTCGAACCTCCACCTCAAAGGCAGCATTAGTGTCTTTCACAGGTCCACTGTCTTCTTCAGCCTGGGAACTGAAAATGTCTCGATCATCGTCAAGGACTTTGTCGATTTCCCTGGTGATGTCATCCACTTCGCTGTGGGTGTCCAAGTCATCCTCCTCCTCTTCGTCTTCCTCGTCGGAATCAGAGTCATTGTAGCGGCTGAATTTATCTGCAGAGTTCATAAGAAAGATTTTTTTAAAGGATCAAACCCATTGATTTTGCTCGTGCTCAGATAACAGTTAAAGAAAAGACACTTGGGACAGCAAACCTAGTGCCTCTACGTCATACAAAAAGTACAAAATTGTTCCGGTTTAGGTATTCCATGGACCTAATCAACCTCATGTCATGACCAAAATACTTTTTTGAATAAAATATAAAGATTAAAACACTAGACACTTATGCAACAATCAACACCAGCTAGGAATCACAATATGACTCATATGTTCAGTAACAAAAACTACTTTCCCCTCGAAATACTCCCTTCAGGCAACAAATCTTTCCACAACTAAAATGCAAGTTTGTCTCTGGGTTCTAAGGTGACATGTCAGTTAAATCTTTACTTCCTAACCATCAAGAATGACAAAACAAGCACTACAACTGCTCTCAACTGGGAACTGTGGATTTGATCAGACATATTCACACCAACATATAAAAGCACAAAAAGGGTAAGATGATGCTTTCCAAGGAATTCTTACTACACTACCCCACTTCACTAAAACTTGCAAAATTAATATTTTCTCAACTTTTTATTTCCATATATTTTCTTACTCAGACCTGCCACTCTATGAAATCTAAAAATCAGGATTTTAGAGTAAAAAAATCAGGATCTGGTGAAAAAAAAGGGATCAACGGCAAATCAGTCATAACAGGTCCTGGTTCCCTTTTATGAGGCAAGTTTGCAAGAGAAAACTTTTGCAGGAATAAGTTCACATTTGGGCCTCTAAATAGAGGGAAAACTGAAAGACAGCATATATGTACTCGAGTCGGAGTTGGATAGACTGGGGGAGCGCAGGTTGCGGTAAAGCTGAAAATAACTGACACATCACTCTAATCATTACGCAAAAAGCCCACGTTTTCATACAGTAACATCGTTTTGACTTCTATCGTATATACACTCAAGACCACCCCCCCCCCTCCCCGAAAAAGTTAGCGCCAAGATTGTTCATTTATTATTATTTTTAAATTCCTTTATCCTCAATTAGTACATGTATCACGGCACGCATTTAAAGCCCAAGTGTCAAAACAATACCCCCACCCCCTCCCCCCCTCGTCCACACTGGTTAAGTCCCGAAAACCACCTCGACCAATGCGACCGGTGTGAATGAACTTTGTTGACTCCGACAGCCGACGGTCCCCGACACACGTGCTACTCACACGTACGAGGTCATGTCAAGTGATGCGAATGAGCGTTTGAAAGTTCCACTGACAGGTCTTGATGATGGGCCCGACTAACCATAACTCAAACGAGGCTAGCTTTTAAAGCACCGGCAGAACAACAAATAGATTATTCATAGGCCCATATCATAATTGTTACAGTAACCAGGACACCATCGGAGAATTCTGGGTTATAAACGCGAAAGTAGATCTTGAGCGTATCCATGTCGGAATTCAAAATCGATACTACGTTGATTTTAGTTGAAATAACGTGCGTGAGTCATCTACTAGATTCGGCATAGATCCTTTAGAAAGTAGCGTTCCAAGTTCCTGCCGATAAAAAATCCAATCGGTGCTTACAAGCAAAAGAGATTGCAGAACTTTTTATATTCTTTCTAAGAATCGGACGCAACAACAAAAAATCAGGATACTGGCGATCGTAATCAGGAAAATCGGGATGCTTGAGATTTGGGGCAAAAATTCGGGATATCCCGATTAAATCGGGATGAGTGGCAGGTGTGCTTACTTATCAGTACCAAGCATCACTAACCATTTAGATCTGTTAAAAAATTTCAAATCCACACAAAGATAACATTTTCAACAGGATACAATAGCCAAAAATTCTTGAGTTCCAAAAAATATATGTCACGACGCAGCGGAATCAAGCACTCGTCAATTTTAGGGTAAATGGAGTTATTGGTATCATTTTAAAGGTTTGTTCATTTGCCCTGTATTTGATTTAAAAAATAACCATTTATCTTGAATAGAAGTTGAGATATTTGCCATTGAAGGAGGTGGGGTCGCCAGCTTTCATCAGTAAAATAAGCAAGATAATGGCCGCCAAAGTTTGGTGACTTTCATAGCTCAAAATTCCTTGGAAACTGCAAATTTACATTTTTCTTGCCTTTAATCAGTTTTTCCATAAAATCCACACATAAGAATGTTTTTGATTGGCCATACAAGCTGCTGAGCCAAAAAACAAAATTTAGGACAGAAATTCGAAACTGGTCAAAAAATGCTGATTTCTTCTATTTCATTCTTTTGTCGAGCGCCTGATTCGGTGGGGGGGGGGGGGGGTTCCTACTAAATGCCAACATCTGAACGCATTTTACCATTCCAAAAGAGTCACCAGGAATTACTCTAATCCCAATCAAGATGATAACCTCATACGTACACTATTAACATTACAAACCAAGAGCACTAACCAACACTTCAAGCAAAGAGCCTGTCAATGTATTCTAGTGTGTCAAAAAATTATTCAAAAACATGAAAACATTGCTTGTCGTTGCACCATCAACTCACTAAGCACATACCATTGTTTCATTCCTGACTATTATCGATGAATAATGACATTTTATAACTCAAAATCATTTAGTGACCTTTTCTTTCAATCCAAATGATAAAGAAACCCCCACCCTTTCAACATTAAGGGTAACCACTTCTTTCAATGAAACAATAATTAGCAAAACGTGCCTTTCGGTTTCGGCGGCCGTTCTGGTTCTGTGACCATCTGAACCCTTGTGCCTGCTGAAGGAGCAGTGGAGTGATACTTGTCCTGAGGTAAGATCAGCTTGGGTTTAGAGACAGCAGGAGCTGCCTGGTTCCCCGAGCTCTGAACACCAACAGGACCTGGCGGAGGGGCCGTACGACTAGCATGACCACCCTCGGCTAGATGGGGTCTGATCACAATAAGATTTCCAGCCGCTGCCTCTGCGTCTGCTTCCAATGTGGCGCCACCAGCAGGACGTATCAAAGTCACCGGACCTGCAGCTCCTCCTCGACCTCTCATGAAGAAGGCTCCGCCTCTGTTGTCCACATAACCTCGTCGTGTATAACGACCCCTGTCGCGTATAAGTCGACCCCTGTCACCAAAACTTCTATGGTGAGATCGACCAGAGAAGTTGTGTCGTTCTGGGAAAAATCCCCGCTGTCGCACAGGCTGAATCTGAAGAAAATAGAGAATATAACTTATATTTCCTAAAAAAAAGCGAAAAGACATCCTGGCATTTGGTATTCTATGTTCACCCCATATCAAGTAAATAATCTACCCCATTCAAAGAGTATTAACATAAAACATTACTTTGCCAAGTCAAAAGTAGAGATGACATTATAATAATTATATATTTACAGGTCAGAATAAGTATGTATTTCCAAACAGTCAAAATGCACATAACTGGAGTACTGTAAGATATCAAATAAGCCCCCCCCCCCCCCCCCCTTATTGTCAAATCTTTTGCACACCCCCCCCCCCATTCCATATCCCTTTCCAGCTTGTCACGGCCGACAATCATGTGAAACATTCATAGGTAATATTTTTTTAATGAAACTGGTTTGTTCCTAAATGGGAAAAGATGTCACAGTAACTTACTAAAATTTCACGATCTCTTGTTCTTTTACTTACTGAAGGAGAAAAAAACAACAGATTCGTTCCTACTAGTACAGGGGTATGAGGTCGAATGTGCCAACCCCCGTTTATTAATTTTGGACCACTTGCCCCCCCCCCCCCACTTTTATACGATACCTTAGAGTAGTTATTCTATTCAAAGAAAGAAAAAAATATTCCCTTTTTAAAATGACAGTGTTTTTATCATTAGGGTATATAAGTCCCATGATGATGATGATGATGCACATTGCTAAAAAGGCCCCAAAATGCAGGAGACACCAGTTCTCTGTCTGTCAGGGAACCTGGAAGAAAAACCAGTAGGAGACCAAGAAAACCTCAAACATAAACATGATCAAAAGGCAGGTATCACTTACTCCGTTATTGAAGTGTCGCGGCGGTGGCTGCTGCTGCCAACCAAACGGTCGTGGCTGTGTGAGCAACACATTGGGCAGTGGAAACCTGGGACCTGGAAAAGACACAGGTTCTGGCACCGGGTCCGGTTGGTATGAAAACTGAAAGAAAAGCATAAAACAAAATCAACATTTGTCGGCAAAGGTATGAAAATTAACAGAATAAAAACAGTGAAACGCAGAGCTAAAAGACCACCTGGTAAAAGCACTATACCCTTACAGCACACTCTCATAGCTCAGAACTGAATTTTTCAAGGGGCATCTTACAATATAGTTTTTGTTTTTAACCCCTTGACTGTTAACTCACACTAACTGTATAGTCAACCCACATGCTGAGGAATTTTGCACCCTGCGTAAGATGTCACAGGTCACAATCTTTAATCAAGGGGCTCTTCTGGTGTCATTAAAAAGGTCCCAAGTTCAAAACCATACAGTGATGAATTTTTTTTTCCACCTCCATTCCTGTATTCTAGTCACGTTCTGCCACCTGCTCCTGCTTTCACTTTCCCTTTTCCCCTCCCCCCACCTGTCTCCTCTCTTCTTTACCAATGACTCTTTCTACTGTTACTCCTGGCTCTAAGCCACAACCCTAACCTAAGGGTAGGTGCGATCAAACATCTAGCCTTCTTGAATAAGGGCAAAAAATTTCAGAGATCGCGTGTGCAAGTTGCTCACATTAAAGATTCCTTGGTAGTCCTAAAATCATAAGAGTTAGAATTCGGCCACCACCCTAGCAAAATTAAAAATAAATTCATTCCAAACTACAGATTATCATCAAAATCAGAATGTGGCTGCCTAAAGGCAAGGGTCCTACAAAGTAGGAAAAATGGTCAAACAGGTAGAAATCAGTAACACTACAGGTTGAAGCATCAGCAGTTGACTACCCCGGAGATCTAGCAGGGGAATGCAAGGAAGAAGAGAAGAAGACAATCATTAACCAATGATATTCACTCATTATTAAAGACAGATGGGTAAAACTTGTATTAATAAAAAGATAAATGAAGAGATGACTTCATCCACTGACAAGACCAACGCATACATACCATAATGATGTAAACAACTTAAAAGTACTGAGACTGAACAAGTGATCTGATTAAACGCATTGGCGCGGTCTTGCACAATTTGTGTAAGAAAGACTTGCTTTGATTAAGCGGTCACAAAGTTCGCACTTCCAGTCATACTATATCAATAGATAGAGAAATGAAAAGATGACCATAACGATTTAACAACTTGAAAGTACTGAGACTGAACAAGTTTTACAGTTCAATGCATCAGCTTTGACTGTCTGTCTTGCACGATGTGTAGCAATATGAAAAAAACAACAACCCAGAATGACAGACCCATACACAACCTAACAACTACACCTCTGTCTTATTTCCAGTCACCACCACATTGCTAAACAAAATTTATATTATTTTTATGAGGTCTCCACTTATATTGTTACCATCAGCCAATCGATCAAATCCTTTAAGCTGTTTATGAGCGAATTAATAAGTAAATTTCAGGTGCAAAAACCAAATTTACACTTAGACCAAAACAACAGCAATCCTTACCTCAGGAACAACATCCACACTGCCTGGATATTCATGCCAAGGAGAGCCAGGCTTAGAACGCCCAACATTCGATATGCTGCTTATTACTTGCTGGATGGGTTGTGCTTTCTGAGGGATGAAAAGTAAAATAAAACTTCAACATGGTTTAAGTACTTTAGAAAAGAATTTATTATGTTTTTACAACACTTCCAAATTAATTACAGGCATATTCAGTATATGGATACTATTTAGCGTCAACTGATCCTATTCAACTAAAATAATAAGAGTTGATGGGCAATTTGATATTTATCAAATAAATTACTTGGAAGCAGCCAAAAGCTGAGCTCAGAGCAGAATTTGAAAGAAAAATGGCGATATATTAATATAAAGAAACAAAACACACACATATTACATATAACAAATTAAATTTATAATGACATTATATTTGAGCAGCTATTAAAGTTGATATTTTACTTTAGTCAACAATATTGTAAACTTGTAAGTAATATTGAGATGTCCCTCTGCTTTCTCAAATATGAACTTAACATCAAAAGAATTAGCCAGGTCCTCTGTTCAATTCAATTTTATTTAAGTCAGAGATTTTTGTGAAAACATGGCTGGGTAAATAAGCCTTAAATATAATCTGTATAATGACAATTTTAAAAATATGTCTGCTTCAGGTGTGTCCGATTAAAATGCTGTATTCGCAGCAAATGTCGACTTTATCTTCATACCCCTTTTTACTGCCCTTCACAACTATTGGTTTGTATCTAAAACAATCGTTTTTCTTCTTGGTACCACAAACATAGCAATGTAGTATAAAATATATCAGATTATGGTCAGTTAATGCTGACAACCTCCTTCCATTTATGTGCCTATCTCCAATTAGACTGAACTGACTCAGTAAAGCCTGAAAAATACCAGCCGAACACAATTCAAGTTCAAGAACATCTCATATGGGATTCCGCTCACCAGCATGATAATTGAGCATGATACCAACGGATCAATTGATGTACCCATCTCCTTAAAAAGACTTTTCAGTACTTACAGGCTTCAGAGTCGCCAGTGCAGCATTACGAAGGGCATCCAAGTCATCATCCTGAAAAGGTAGGAAAACGATTATTTTCATTCAAACATATAACTTATTAGTAGGCAACGAAGTAGTATGCATATTTCATCATCTAACATACATACATTCATGAACATCAACTAGAAATGTCATTTCTGTTTCCCTTTCGCTACAATTCCATGAAATCAGTACAAAATATCAGTAACCTCTTCTTTGCCTTTAATGTTCAAGAAATTTAAACCACAAAAGTACCAGCGGCACATTTTAAAATATACCAAATTTTTGCCGTCTTTGCATTCCCCTAAAAGACCTCAGAGGTAGTAGACTACAGGTAGAACTCTACAACCTGCAGAGCACCTGATTTTTACGTGTGTGTACATAACTTTTTACAAAAATTTTGTTGAAACTGCTTTTTATTGATTAAAATATATTTGCTGCATTCTATTGTCGGTTGTATGCATTGTATGTATGCCCTTTTACTGTTTAAAAAATTGTGTTTATACAGATCTGACACCTTGTCCTAGTCTGGGAAATCGGCTCTATTGTCAGGTAACTTCGCCACGCAGGTCTATTGATTTTCCACTTTTGTTGTTTTACTTAGATTTACCACTTTTATTATGGGGAAAACAAGCAGAGGAATTAATAACAAGTATACTTAAACTTTATAAAGTGATTTGGAGAAAGCTGTCGAAGCTGTTTAAGTTGGACAAAGCTGCTCTGGGGCAGCCCGAGAATCTAGTGTTGCAAGAAAAACTCTTGCCGACTATGTTTCTGGTAGATCTACTTTTGGAATGAGGGCTGGGAGGGAGAAAAATAAAATTATCGATTAAGTGATTGCAGCTGCAAATGCAGATTTCCCTTTAACGAAAGATCAGTCTTTATGTGTTTAATAATCTAGGCTTTAAATAAGACAATAAGATGATCTGACATGAAGCTACAGAGAGCACCTAGCATATATATGGCCCAAATATAGAAGACATATTCCCGCCATCTATTTTTATCGTCTTCTGGGGCTTCCCTCGCCAGTTCACTAGATATCACCGTGGCGGGCCTACTTTGGGTGCGCGCGCGTGTGTGTGTGAGTGTGTGTGTTTGTGTGTGTGCATGCGTGCACGAGTGTATTGTGTATGCGTGCGTACGCGGTGCGTGTTTGTGTGTGTGTGTGCACGCGCTTGTGTGTGTGTGTGTACAACTTTGAGGAGACGGTAAATTTATGGAATGAGCACTGCTGAGATTTTTGTAAAAGATAACTCAAATTAATACAACACCAAAAAAACAAAGACGGCCGGATCTAGTCAACAGGTTCGAGGGAAACCCACGAGTCTTGGGGGAAGCCCCGGGATGCCACAAAAATAGATGGAGGATATACGTCATCTATATTTAGGCCAATCACAGAGGTAGGCTAGTAGCAATGCCAACCGCCCGTTTCGCTTTGGGCCGGAAATCGGCCTCCCCGCGAGGGGTAATTTTTGGGCCGCTCGGGATCAGAAATGACTCTTCTAAGTATAGTTACGAGAAAACTCGAGGACGAAAATAAATGAAACTCGGAAACCAATCAGAGAAAAGGTTAAACTAAGGACAAGCCACCGTGCAATCCAGAACGATTTCTAGAACCCGAGAAATTGTCGTGTTTGTTTGAATTTCCTCTGTGGTTCGAAAACTAAGCGGAGCTGCCGGTTGACCGCGGACTACACAGGCGTCCAACATGTCTTCTTTATGGCTGTAAAATTTCAGATCTCTGCGTGTAGTACATTTTACGTACCAACTTAAAATTACCACCCATCCATTGATAAAACACTAAAGCTGGAAACTAGATCACGGATTCCAAACGCGAGGTGCCAGCATGCAAGAGACGCGTGATCGCTAGGTGGCAGGTGATTGGCTGCCAAAAACTAAATAGGTCACCGATGACTTCATTGCGGGTTTTCCTAATACCGCTTTACTGAGTTTTAGAAGGGGTGATCGCGTCGCAGTTATAACGATGTCACGCAATTCAACAAATTGCACTTAAATATTAGTCTTTAACTGTTGTCCTGTGTCTGTGCCGAGATGCGAATCTTATCAGCAACCGATTACGTCGGACGTTCCGGGCAGGCGCACCAGGAAACGTGTGTTTTCGCCATGAATACCGTAGGAGTGTGCTAATCGATGATGAAAATAACGCTCTTATCTTTCATAGATTTCTATTCATAAAGTGCTACAAACACATGAATAACCCCCTCTCACAAGCTGATAAGACATTACGTGTAGTTACATCCATTCGAATTTAATAACCTTTCCAGACGCTCTTGTTGTTATGAATGACCTGGGGTTCGAAAGGGGATAATATTATAGGTCAATTTCCGAATGTTTTGCACTCAAATTGTTCTTTGTACCAGCACAATGTTATTCAAAATTATCAAACAAGCTTATTTTTTATCAGGTAGTATCATTTCATACAAAATCAAGCTCATTTGAAAGATTCTGTATAGTCTTGTTTCCTGACTATCCTTTCGAGCTCCTCATGTCTAAGTGGGTCAATTTCTTCTATAATTTCATTGGACGAACATCTAGAGCTACCAACTTGGCATGTTTTGAATGAGACGTATGCCTCAATTACGAACCAACGCAGGCGGTTCTAGAAGAAGGCCACAAACGCACACAAACTCAAGCAGACTGACGCACACACACTTGATCTGCGTGAATGGGGATCCGACTCGGGACCCGAATGACACGTAAGGATGCGCGCTGCGTGTGCGCTGAGCCAGGGGCTACACTGATTCGGGACCAGAATGCAGGCGAGGTGCCGAAATAGGCTTATCGGGCTACATAAAACCGGCTCCCGCAGGATGAGGGTTAATGACAGTGCATGTATTTTAAACCTCCTGTTTTGTAATGTTAATAGGGCCTAAGATAAGTACGGCTAGACTGGCAGTCTAGCCGTACTTCAGTACCGCTAGACTTCTTGGCTAGCCGTACTTAAGTACAGGTAGACAGCCAGTCTAGCCGTACTTAATATTGATGGCTGAATTGTAAATGAAATTTTTAGTTTGCAATGCCTAAAGTATTTGTATTTCAGACAAAACCAAAAGGTGCCTTACTGACTTGCATGTATTTGAACCTGAATAATTACTAGATCTAGATCTAATGAGACCTGTGTACTTAACAGGCTTGAGTCGATAGGGCCAAACCTAGATGGCTAGACTGGCAGTCTAGACGTACTTAAGTACGGCTAGACTCTCAGTCTAGCCTTAAGTTAGCCACTTCGTTTGAGATATTGGTCAGGAACCCCTTAGTTACAGAAATTATAAGATGGTGAAGTAGTCATGTTGTTTTGAAAGGTAAACAAATAAATAGTGAACTATTTAGCATTTAGAATGTGAGATTAAATACTACTTTTGGCATAAAGGGTACTGTCCTGTGATGTTTTGAGTCATATTTTAAAGATCGAACACAAGCAGTTGTGGTTTGAAGCACGTGTTCTGATAATGTTTTGCTTAGATGTGGTGTTCCTCAGGGGGCTGTTCTTGGACCTGTCTTGTTTACAATGTATACACAACCTATTGCTGATATTTTAAGACAATATAGCATGAATTACCATCTTTATGCTGATGACACTCAAATTTATTAGTGTATATTGATTTCGATCAAATGCCACTTTTGTCGACTCTACTGAACAATGTACTAGAGATTTAAAAATATGAATGACCAGCAATAAATTGAAACTAAATGATGACAAGACGGAAATAATGTTGAGAGGAAATACAAAAGCCATTAGAAATCTCCCAGAACTACAAATTGATATTAATAACCATACCATTCGTTCAAAAAGAGGTCTTAAAAGAGCTACCAACTCGGCGTGTTTTGAATGAGACGTATGCCTTTAGAAGGCCACAAACGCACACAAACTCAAGCAGACTGACGCACACACACTTGACCTGCCTGAATAGGGATCCGAAGCGGTATCCGAATTGAACGGGAGATGATCTCGGCACACAGGCGCTGAGCCAGGGGCCAGACTGACGAGGGACCAGAATGCAGGCGAGGTGCTGAAATAGGCTTATCGGGCGACATAAACCCAGCCCCCGTATGACAAGGGTTAACTCTCTTCAGACGGTTCACACAACAGTTGCGTGACCCCCGCCGCGACGGCTCCCACAAGACCTGCGTGACCAACTTTGGAATTTTTTTTCGCTGTACGCTGTACAAATCACGCACGGATCCGCCTCGTACCCTTGTTTGGCCAAGTCTGAGCTACTTAGACTTCGTTTCGTATCTCTGGGACCCATAGTTTTTAAGTTATTGAAGGTGAAGGACAGTGACCCCAACTGGGGTTGAACTGACAGGAACTCGCGCTTTGTTTGTTTCTATACAGCTGATAGTAATCTGACAGTCGCGTCGTAGTAACGGTCGAAGAAGTCGCATGAACAAGAATCACATAATTTCGCCATTTTCGATACTTCTGTACGTTTTACTAGTTCTAGTGTCTCAGAATATGATGTGTCTGATAGTTAGGATCCTGGATATGCACGGGAACACGGCCCGAGTCGTAGTTTTAGGGTTAGATCTAGCACTAGTACTGGTGTTGTTGTTCCTGCAACGAAATCACAATGTCGTGCCGTACATCTGTCTCATGTAATTCAGTGCATGGGTCTGAATCAACGCACAGACCAGCTTTTATATTTTCACCAAACACTCACACATGCATACAAATTAAAATACAACACTTTGAACTTTTATTTTTGTTGTGAATTTCATTCTACCTGTCATGTCTGTGAAAATTTTTCGGAAAAACAAATTCATGCAAATTTTTTTTAAATCATAAAAATTAAAGTATTAGACTTAGACAACTTTAATTTTTTGTGTTAGCTTAAGCTTGAATGTTACTTTACTGTGTCAAAAAATAATTACAATAGGGTAATTCTGAGAGTTGTGGTGATTTATTGAACGAAGTGTATACAGACCCGGTAAGGGAACTCTTTTGTGATTTCGGAAAGTTTCAGCGCCCAGACCCGGTAGTGTGTGTGTGTGTGTGTGTGTGTGAGGGGGTGGAGAGAGAGAGAGAGAGAGAGAGAGAGAGAGAGAGAGAGAGAGAGAGAGAGAGAGAGAGAGAGAGAGAGAGAGAGAGAGAGCATGACTGCTCGAGAGAAATTATGACATTGTTCTTTTCTTCAAATTGTGATTCCTCCAACTCCAAAACGGAGGAAAAACGATCGTTCATCGAAAAGACATCCGCAATCTTCATTTAGATGTAGATCTAGGCTAGCCTCGAAACTAGATCAATGATTTATGTTTGTCTGTCTAGATCTAGATCTAGCCTAGGCCATAGATATATAGAAGAACCTAGGTCTACCCTGAGCCAAGAGGGCGCTGAAACTTTCCGAAATCACAAGAGTTCCCCTACAGGGTCTGTATACCTTGTGACTTTGTTCCCCGTTACCGGGTCTGTATACACTCCCTTTATTGAAATACTCCGAAAAACGCCAGTCTTCAACGCTTGTGACTGGTGAAAGGGCCCAGTAGTAAGTGAGTTAAGATCCAAAGTAATAAAAACATCGAAAAAGTGATACCAGAAATAGAATCTGCACTAAAAATCACATGAAGATGCCAAGTTTCATTCATACACTCCAATTCATTGCTGAGTTTTTCCTCAAAAGACATCAAGACATGTCCCACTTTTTGACAATATTTTCTTATATATGAAAGTCCCCCAAAATTTTGCAAACAAAAATCCCAATAAATTTTTTATTTATCAATGGATTTTTAACTCGTTATCTCCGAGGGGGGTAAACCCACTACATCAGGGCCCTTTTTTGGTACTAAACTAAATCTAAAAGTGACGAAAACGTCACTAAATCATAACTAGTGAAACTATTATGATAGTACTTCATCTAATGAATGAACTTCCAGTGAAAGAAACCTGTTTTCGGCAATTGCTGAAAAGTAATTTGATGTCGAAGATGTCGTAAAGGAATGTGCCCGAGCCTCTGTCAGCGGCTCACCGCCACAGCAGTTCCAACCACAAGCCGCTCCCCGGCTTGCCGGAGAAAAACAGTTAAATTTTAAAAAGCATAGTTCTTAGAATTTACTCTATTTTCATTTAAGCCCATTCTTAAGCCAAGCAATTTGGATAAAAATTTCATTACAGCTTCATGTAATGACCTCCCAGTCCCAGTACAGCGAATTTGCCCTACTCAAGGACTGGCAAATTTCCCCGATATGGTTGAAAAGTTCCCCGTCACCATAATATCCACTTGAAAAAAGAACGAGGCAGATGAAGTACGACTAGTCATTGACTACGAAAAGTTACAGATAAAGTGATAAAGGTATTTTTTTACTTTCCCTCCCGTCTCAAACTCCGCTACCAGTTGCCTTTTTTCTACTAAATATTGATGCGCTGAACACGAATATCAACTTCATTTCCGTCGCAAATTAATAGTTTTTGAAATATTTGATTGTTTTTAACCGAGATAGACATATGCTTTACTTTGGACCAATCGGGGGGTTCCAGGGGGGCCTGCCCCTCTGGGGTAAAAGAAAATAAGGGGGGGGGGGGCATGCCCCCGTTTTTACCCATAATTTGATATTTTAGTTATATTTGAAATTGTCTTGAAAATAAAAAATGATTTGCGACAGTTTCAGTGGCTTTATGACTTTATGTGTGATCTGCAGCAAACAATACAGCAGTTTGACCCCTGAAACAGTGCATCTCTGTGTGAGGGTGTGAAAGTAAAAATTTACCCAGACAAAACAGGCCGTACAGGAGTAATGTAAGTAGTTTAGAAAAGAGGGGGTGTAGGCTTTTGGCTTTTGTTTCGTTGCGAGCTAACAACAGTGGCAAAGTTAGTAGACACTACTCTAGTGTAGTATCTGACATCAGATGACACTGTCACACTGTGCGAGTGTGACTGTCATCAAAACTGACTTGTGGAAGATCACTAGATCTAGATTTCTAGATCTATCGTCAGTCATCAGTACAGTGTCAGTATCCCACTTTCATGATTAGATCTAGATCTATATTCTAGATCTAGATCTAGAATCTAGGTTTTAAGCAACTTAAAGTTTCACTTTTCAGACTTCTCACTGATCTCGTGTTGGCCAACTTCATCATCATCATCAACTGACGATATTCCTATGGATACAATGTGTCATCTTAACAAGCTAAATAGAACGAAATGTAGCAACAAAATGTATATGTAACTCCTACATTGCCAGTTTAAACTCATTTATCGATGAAAGAAAGGCATTATTTATAACAGGAAAACAAGGCCTACCTCTGCGTCGGACGCCATGTTTAATACAATTTGTGCGGGATGAAAATTGGCTACTGGTCCGTTGTAAACACTAGGCCTGGGCCCACAGAATTCTACACACTTCAATATGTGTGTTGTGGTAGCCTTGTAGAAATAATAGTATAATAATAATAATAAAAATTATTATTATTATTATTATTATTATTATTATTATTATTATTATTATTATTATAATAAAAAAATAACGATAATAATAATAGTAGTAGTAGTAGTAGTAGTAGTAGTAGTAGTAGTAGCTTAATAGTAGTAGTAGTAGTAGTAGTAGTAGTAGTAGTAGTAGTAGTAGTAGTAGTAGTAGTAGTAGTAGTAGTAGTAGTAGTAGTAGTAGTAATATAACAACAACAACAATTTAAAAGAAATAATAACAATAATTTATTTTTTCTTGGTAGATCTATATAGTGTTTTACGGCACTCGCAACAACATATAAAAAATTACTATGAGCGCTTGGGGTACAGGAAATTTGGAATTTTGCCTAGGTACTGGCGGCCGAAGCCAACTCTCATCAATTTTGCATATATCCAAGAGATCCTTAACGTGCGCAGTTTGCACACAGGACATTCGAGATTTTTCTCCCTTGTCCGAGAAGGCTAGAGGTCAAGGATCGAGTTTAGAACTTACTGTAAACTCCTTGCTAGAAGTGTAGATCTTTCTTACCAGAAGATCAGGGATGTGGCTGGAATACAGCAGTAAAAATTAGGAGTTAAGTAATAGCAGTAGCCTAGAAAGGCTGCAGAAAGAGTCAGGAGCCCAGAGGAGGGCCGGGTGAGGGGGTGAGGGCAGAAATTGGAGACGAAAGCAGAAGTTAAAACATTATTAGGCATAAAGAGCAGGAAAACATGTGAAAGAAGAAACTTTTCCGCCGCTATCCGGATTCAAATCCGGGAACTATTAAAATGAGAGGCAAACAACTTATAAACCTCTAAAGCCACGCTATGAGCTCCCCAAATAACAATGATAATAATAATAATAATAATAATAATAATAATAACATATAATAACAACAATAATGATTCCAGCTCTTCTTCTTTTTCTTCTTCTTGTTTGTTTGTTTGTTTAGTATAGGGTTTTACGGCGCTCGCAACTGCATAAGGTAATATGAGCGCGCGGGACACACCTAATACTTTTCCGTTGGTAGGAAATTTTGAATTTTGCCCGGGTGGCGGCCGAAGCCTACTCTTATCGATTTTAGACCATCAAGGGATCTTTAACGTGCGCAACTTGTACACGGGCCCTCCGAGATTTTTCGCCCTTGTTCGAGAAGGCTAGGTGTAGATCTTTCCTACCAGAAGATCAGGGGTGTGGCAGAAAGACAGCAGTTAGGAGGAGCCAAGGAGTAGCAGTAGAAAGGCTGCAGAAAGAGTCAGGAGCCCAGACGAGGGGGCAAAGGATGTGAGGGGGTGGGGGCAGAAAGTGGAAATGAAAGCAGACAACAGAACATTGTTAGAGATCAGGAAAGGAGGTGAAAGGAGACAATTTTAGAGAAGAAAATTTTTTTGGTCGCTACCCGGAATCGAACCCGGGACCTTTGAATGAGAGGCCAACACCTTAACTTCTAGGCCACGAGAGCCCCCTTCTTCTTTTAGTAGTAGTAGTAGTACCGTAGGCTGTACTATCTTTGGTAGTAGTAGTTGTAACAGCAGCAGCAGCGCAGCAGTAGTAGTAGTAGTAGTAGTAGTAGTAGTAGTAGTAGTAGTAGTAGTAGTAGTATCATTAATTATTATTATAGTAATTATTACAAAATGGGATTGATACTCCATAGAAAGCTGTTCAATGCAGAAACACCTCTCAACTGACAATTCAAATGAGATATAGAGTACAGACAATAAAACCACAGCACATGCACACCGCGCGCTCGCGCACGCACGCACGCACGCACGCACGCACGCACGCACGCACGCACGCACGCACACACACACATACACACACACACACACACACACACACACACACACACACACACACACACACACACACACACACACCACCTGGACCTGCAAACACTCTCACGTACAAAATTTACTGGCAGAGGATTTTGAACAAATAGCTGTGTCGTAATTATTACAACCCCGCTCTCTCTCTCCCTCTCTCTCTCTCTCTCTCTCTCTCTCTCTCTCTCTCTCTCTCTCTCTCTCTCTCTCTCTCTCTCTCTCTCTCTCTCTCTCTCTCTCTCTCTCTCTCTCTCTCTCTCTCTCTCTCTCTCTCTCTCTCTCTCTCTCTCTCTCTCTCTCTCTCTCTCCCTCTCTCGCTCTCACTCTAACGTTAATACACGCATTTTCTTGGGGGAGGGGGGGGGGTCCAATTTTTGTGGGATATGAAGTAAAAACTCTGCCATGTAACTTGTTCGACTTTATTTTGGCCCCTCTAAAAAAATATCATTCTCAGATCTCAAATATGTCGATTAACTAGCTGGAATTAAACTAGCCACATATGCGATGCTCAATAACTTGGCTGTAATTAACGCCATCATCAGTCTAGCCATATGTGACTCTTTAGTTCATAGTTTAGTTTAGTTTTAGTAGAGGTTTAACGGCTCTCACAACTGCATAAGGTCATAATATGAGCGCCAGAAGATTAGATGTGTTACAAGAAAGTAGCCTAACAAACATAAAAAAAGAAGAAGGGGAGATAAGGATGAGATGTTTCATAGGAAAGAAGAAGCTAACCACACCAGAGCACCCGCCAACCACCCACATTTAGTTCACAGTTACCAACAATACTGTAACTGTCTAACTAACATAGAAAGGTCAAAGATGTAAAGAACGGGATATCAAAACATAATTAGATGAATCATGGTAATACTGCAGTCATGTTTTGCAAAGCCAAACCAGTAGTAGTATCCTCTATTAGTAGAGTAATTATTCAAAAATTAGTACAATAGTATTACAAAAAGATTACAGTAGTATTATTTATTAATGTAGTAATTATTACAAAATGTTAGAATGCCATGCAGTGCACACCATATAATATCTGCATTGGGAATGTGAACATTTTTTTCCATAAGCAAAGAAAAAAATCTAAGTGTTATTTTTACCGTAAACTACCATTATGTGCCATCATTAACTGAACCGCCATCTAGATCTACATAAAGTTATTAATTTTAAAAAATGCAGAATATAGGACAAATGTCAACATATCATATTATCTTAGTGTCTTCCATTAGGAGGAGCGACCATTGATTTTGCCGATTTTGGATCGGGCTATGCACATTGAGATTTTGGCTGATTTTTGAAGATCAACCAGTTCTTTGTCTAAAAATAGCATGGAGACAATTAAGAAAGTCTCCTCGTAAATTGCCTTTGAAAATATGAGGGTAGGTTATTATAGTGATTTTTCACAATAACTGTCGTTTTTCGCAAAATGTCATTAAAATTTTTTTCCCCTACTCTCTCTTTATAGTTTGTATCCTTTTGACATGAAACTTTCAGGAAACAGATGGTAAGGCTGCCATCAATGTGACAGAGATATATTTGCGGAAAAGACCAAATACTTTCCCATTGGCAAGCGATTACGCAACCTAAATTTAGAAAAGTTTTTTTTTATACCTTGGGAAAATTCTCATATTTTTTTTCTTTTGCACTTATTGAAAAAAAAACAACAACGACCCCGCTGTTACGCTGATAGGGTCTGGTTCAGGTATACTCTCACCAAATTTGATCAAATTTTGTCAGCAAATAATAAGAAAGCCTAAAGGATTTTGAAATTCATTGTTTATTTTCAAGATGATGAAGATGGCGGCCTTTTCCATAGCAAACGCTGTAACTGTGTCAAAATAAAATTGCGTATCAAGAGATTTTACATGCCTAACTTATATGTGTAGGCCTACTTAGATTTGATCTGGGGCAACAATCATAGAAAATGGTCCTCAAGGGTCGCTCCCAGTTAAAACCTTCTGCATCTTTTGTGCTTTCACATCTAGACAACTGCAATTCTATTACATGTATTAGAGACCTTTCCACTTTCCGTGACTGAAAGGTTAAGTACAGGACAGCGACTTCAGACTCAAAGCCGCTTGCACAATATAAAGAAACCTATCAAGGACAGTGTTAATCCAACTTAACTGGCTATCTGTGAAAGCACGTTAAATTGTATAATCTCAGTCTTTAAGATATGAGAAAAAAAGTTAAAAACCTGTCCAGATTAAAGAGTAGAGAGCTTTTCCCACCACGTGGCCCCTCCCCGTGAACACAGGCTATTATTATTATACCAACGTACCTATGCTTATCAAAATTCAAACTATCCCTTAAAATGCATTTGCATCTAGATCTAGCCAGTTTTTATCAGCGTTGACCGACATTCCCCATACACAGATTATGTTTCTTTCAGTATAGCTGTTTTGGTGCCGGTTAGTTGTGAAGGTCTGTACCACGCTACTCAAGTCCCACCTGATCCTAGCATCTACGTTTATTGCCATTTTTTGTACCCAAAGTTGCCACAAAAACGGCAAAAGTTGCCATAAACGTTGCCATGATTTTCAAGCTTTCAACACTGTGCGACGACGTTATATTAGCAATAGATCTATGTTGAAGTTGATAGAGGTAACTTAATCTAAAGCACCAGAATTTCTTGTGCTCTGCAGAATATACGTCATGTATCATTTGTAGCCACACAGAGTGTAAAAACGGGAAAAATAAAAGCTTTACAACAGAATGAAATCAAAATGAGTAAACAACCACAAAAACTAAGAAATAATAAAGGCCAATTCATATGTAGAAGTGCGCGGTAGAGTTGGGTCGCGAGGGCGAGAACGGAACTGAATCGCCACTCTTCACTGTGGAACGCGATTCACGATTCACTTCAGTGGAATGCGGAACAGTATCGCCTTCCGATTCCCGATTCACTCCCCTGTCGCTGTCACCACCTTGTGGCTTGTGTGTAACTTACAGTAACCTACTGCTGGGTCGTGAGTCGAGTCAAAAGCGCAAGGACGGAACGGAACACCAAGTATGGCTCCCCTTATTTTACAAAAGACGGCATAGTCCACCCCCTCTCCCCCTATTAAAACAAAATGAACGGGTTCCAACCAAGGTTGCGAGCGCCTTAAAACACTTTACAAAAACAAAACAAGATTCAGTCGGCTTCAATGAATCGCGAGTACGCGAGCGCTCGTGGAACACTAAGGTCATATGAGCGTGCAGGACACACCTAATATATTCAGTTGGTAGGAAATTTTGAATTTTGCCCAGGTGGCGGCAGAAGCCTACTCTTATCGATTTTAGACCATCAAGGGATCTTTAACGTGCGCAACTTGCACACGGGCCCTCCGAGATTTTTCGCCCTTGTCCGAGAAGGCTAGGTGTAGATCTTTCCTACCAGAGGATCAGGGGTGTGGCAGAAAGACAGCAGTAAGGAAGAGCCAAGGAGTAGCAGTAGAAAGGCTGCAGAAAGAGTCAGGAGCCCAGAGGAGGGGGCAAAGGAGGTGAAGGGGTGGGGGCAGTAAGTGGAAATGAAAGCAGACAACAGAACATTGCTAGAGAGCAGGAAAGGATGTGAAAGGAGACAATTTTAGGGAAGAAAATTTTTCGGTCGCTACCCGGATTCGAACCCGGGACCTTTGAATGAGAGGCCAACACCTTAACCTCTAGGTCACGAGAGCCCCCGCCGACTGAATCGTGAATCGCCACCCTCAGATTTGGCGAGCAGGATCCAGCTTTAGTGTGCGGCGACGGCACAGTGGCGATTTTCGGAAATTGCACGACTTACCACAGGATTGCGGTCTTTGTGAGCCAAAGTGCAGCGGTGTTCTTGTTTTTTTCGTAAGGCAGCGTCATACAAGGATGGATTTTTTTTTGCCAAACAAGTTCGAGAAGTTTTTAATAAATTGCAGTTGAAAACTTCATTTTGCTCGTTAGCAGTGACCAATGAACCCCAAACAGCAATCTCCGCTTGCAGTGCAATAGGAAAACACACGAACACCACTACTAGGAAACGTGGGACCTACATCTATGTGTGTGTGTGTGTGTGTGTGTGTGTGTGTGTGTGTGTGTGTGTGTGTGTGTGTGTGTGTGTGTGTGTGTGTGTGTGCGCGCGCGTGTTTGTCTTCCAGTTGTCACAGCCACGTGAAGGCAGGTCAAAATATTCACTTAAAAAATATAACCTTCAAGATTAAAAAAAAAAGAATATTATACGGTGTATATAGATTCTAGTATTATTATTATCAATTAATATCGCAAAAAATGAAGGGCTGGTTTAAAAAAAAAAAAACCTGCTAATTTTTTAGATTCATCCAATGTTCAATATTTTAGTCAGTCCTTGTTCGAACCTCCAGTAGGCCACAGTGGTGCAGACCCCGCGACGGTGTCTCAAGAGTCATAAAGTTCGCTCACGGAAGCGGTCGCTAAAACACCGCGCCGCGAAGGTTCTGCAACTGTTTCCGCGGCGGTATTCCGTCTCGAGAGAACAGTTAGATCTAGGCCTAGTGACCAAACAGAAATCAGAGGTTTTCAAACACAGCCGACAGACTTTTTCCGTCGCCGTTCCGTCGCCGCACACCGCTCCATGCGAATCGGCCTGCCTTTAGGGTGGTGTCAACAACTTCAACAAGTGAGAAAGAGATGAAGTGAAGCGGTAGTGACGTAGTGAAAATACAAGTACATTTTATATGATACATTCTTTCTCGGCTTAAAAGTAAAGAGGTTCGGTTTCTTTGTTATTGTTTTTGCTGTTGTGTGTGGTAGCCTATCCGTTCGAAATGTTTGGAGCCCCGAAGAACGTGATTTTCACCAGGGCCACCGCCTCCCTTTGTTGTTTGTTGTTTGTCAATTCTTATTCCCCGTTTTTGGGTTGCTGTTGTTTTTTAAAAAGATTTTTAAATTCCCCAACGGCGTCTTTTTTTTCTGTCTTTCTTTTTAAAAAAAATGAAAAATGCAAAAATCGCTGCCGCAATTCGCGATCTAAAAAATGCCACATTAAAAAAAAAAAAAAAAGTTAATGCGGTGGTGTTCTGCGGTGCGGTAATAAATTAAAGATGCGTTTATGACTGACACAGTAGCTGTAACTCCAACCGATCCGACCAGACCACATGCATGTGTTTTTTCAAGAAATTAAGGCGGCGAGGGCA